TGAGTCAAGCGGAAAAAGTCAGATAATGTGATGTTAGGAAAACAAAACCTCAAATATGTATTTTAATGTTTTTGTTTCTTTCATACATGTGTTTCTAACGCATTTATAAGATTATTTCTTTGTTGCTTTGTATGTCCCTCCCCCACAGTATAACCCCCGCTTTCACTATATTTGATGTCAGTATAACATGTGGAGGAGATGGGGACAAACAAGTCGTTTAAGGATTCAGGTGGACCTGTTGCAACAATGAGAAGTACAAAATGTCATGTCAAAACCAGCTTTACAATGTCGGTGGGGGGGGAGGGGGGGTATGATTGGTTGGGAGGGAGGGGGGAGGCTGGGAAGGGAGGTGAAGGGTAAACAAAGGAGGAGGCTGCAATGCTTGGTAAGAAATGTATGCATTATCCTGCCCATGTAATTGTAACCCCTCTGTACAGTATGTTACAGTATGTTCTCAAATAAAATAAAATAAAATTTAAAAAAAAAAAAAAAAAAGCATTCAAGTTTAAATGACAGAGATTAGTGTAAAAGATGTAGAGTTTTGGGATGAATGATCTGGATCTCTGCATGTACACTTTGAGAAGGAGCTTTGGATATTATTTTAGAGCCATTTAACTGTTCTTAATTCTGGACAGCCTGAGAAAGACAATACTTAATCAACTTCTGGCCATTTTCTGGATTTCTGAACCAGGGTTCTCCATTGGCTACATTCTCACTTGTTTCATTGTGAGAAGTTTACCTCCTAAGAAAGGACTAGTCATGTGATCAGACTTAACTACAAAAAGGATGATGTGGAATGTCACTCCAGAGAGAATGTGTGCAGCAGGATATAGCTCAGTGGTAGAGCGCTTGCCTAGTTGTGCAAGGCCCTAGATTTAATCTAAAACACACACACACACACACACATAGAGTTAAAAAAAGAGAAAAAGTAAACTTTGTATAACATTTAAAGTTTACAGTTATTTAAATTATTAAAAGATTCTGTTATTGAGTGTTAAACTGTTTCCAGTTTTCCTTTTCAGACTGAAAATGGTGCCCATATGGGAAAGAAGCTATTTCTTTTTTTGTTTTTATTTTTTTTTAATTTAATTTAATTTTTTTTTGTGAACATACTGTACCGAGGGGTTACAATTACATGGGCAGGATAATGCGTACATTTCTTATCAAGCATTGCAGCATCCTCCTCTGTTTACCCTTCACAGCTCTTCCCTACCTCTCCCTACCCCCCACCACCCAATCCTTCCCCCCCCCCCACCAACGTTGTAAAGCTTGTTTTCGACATGACCGTATCTAGTATATGTACGAGTCAAGCGGAAAAGAAGCTATTTCTATTCCCACAGAAATAGAGTTTTGGGAAATTTAGAACTTAATATATGTGACAGTAGATTTTGCAAATACTTAGGCTATCCTTGAACAAGAAAGAGGTGATTTTTCTGAAGACTAGATTCAGAATAATAGGAATTAAAGTAGGAGAGAATGAATAATTATGATAAAACTTGTGAAAATACCCAGACATTGATGGCTTATGGCTGTAATACTATCTATTCAGGAGGCTGAGATCTGAAGATCGAGGTTCAAAGCCAGCCCAGGCAGGAAAGTCCATGAAACTCTTACCTCCAATAAACCAGAAAATTGGAAGTGGTGCTGTGTCTCAAGTGGTAGAGTGCTCTCCTTGAGCTGAAGAGCTGAGAGACAGCATCCAGGGCTAGACTTCAAGCCCTATAACTGACAAAATAAAATGAAAGAAAGAAAGAAAAAAAAAGAAAACTTGTGAAAATATTCTTTTATCTAGTTTCTGAAAATCATTACTGTGTAACCCACATTCCTAAATTTCCTTTCAAATATCTCCTTCACATACTATGTCTTTTTCCATAGCAAGCATATATTTCTGAATTGTACATTAGCTATCTTTGACCCTAAAATGGAAACAATTCAAATATTATTTTCCATTTTATTCTCTTCTGTAATTTCCTCCAGAATGTTTTAATTTTCATTGGTTCATAAAATCAAGACAAAGAGATAGAAACAGAAACATAGCAAGAGAAAGTAGAGAAGAAAAGAAACAATTATTTGCTACAAGATTCAAGCTACAACAGAATTGATCCAAATAATGGAGAAAATGTGCTTCCATGAAGCTGGGAGTAGAAAAAGAAAAGGAATATTGAATATAAAAGAACTGGACAACATAAATTTGGGGAAGAGAGGACATAATTGGTGAGGATGTTTTGGAGTTAACTGATCTCTCATTTTCCATCTATCTCATAGCCATGTGTGAAACAAGCATTCTCCTCTCATCTTCAATAAGACTTTTCCCTCTGGTGAAGGAAGAATTATATCTCTTTCAGGACACAAGTCACCTAAACTTTAATGTTGGCAAAGCTTCAGGAGGAATCAAGCAATTTTCTTTTAGCATTACAAAGACACGGAGATGATATTTTCTGAAAGTTCCCTAGAGTCTTGATATGTCTGTGAGAAACATTCTTTAATGAAGACTGAAAGCATGAACTGTGGTCATAAATCAGGTACAAAAGTACATAGTGTTGACAAACCTTAATGGACTTAAAAGAATCAAAGCTACACACAATGTTTTCTTTGGACACAAAGGATTTAAACCATAAATCAATAATATGGGAACAAGTGGAAAATTTCTAAACATAGAATAATTCTAAATTATATTTCAAAAGCCAAAGATGAAGCATTAAAGAATAAAATTAAAGTACATAGAACTGGATGAAAGCAAACATACAATGTAACAAAATCAATTAAATAAGGAAATTTATAGTCTTAAAATACAGTAGAAAAAATATAGTAGATACAAAGACATTTCTCAAATGACTTAATTCATTCCCTTGAAGAATTAAATAATAAAGAGAAAAATTAATGTAAAACAAAAAGAAAATAAAAGATAAGAAATGGAAAAAATAAAACCACAATTAAAACAAGTGAAATAAAAGCTTTATTTAAAAATGGAATAACTGATACACCTCCAAATAAAAATGAAATACATCTCCCATTATTTTATAAGAAAATTCAATATTATTAATAATGTAAAAAGTTCCAAAGCTTGTCAAATTCAGTGTGAACTCTATCAAAATTCTATGTTACTTTTTGGCAAATTTGACAAGCAGATAATAAATTGATTTAAAAAATGCAAATACCTCTGTGTTGAATTATGTCTTCTTTCTCTAATTAATATTTTTTTCTTTTTCTTTCTCTAACTTAATCTCTAATTTCCAACACAGAAATCTTCATTCTTTTGGGCATAATTATTAAAATTTACATCAATACTGTGGGAATTACTATGTATTATAGACAGCAGCATAGCATTTTTTTTTCTTTAACTGTCAGTAAGCTCCTCAGTCTCACATTTATTTTTATTTGTGGATAATTTCTGACTGTGTTTCCAGCCTTCCAGATATGTTGAATAAAAAAACTTCTACTATAATTATATTCTTTGTACATTCTCTTTTTCTAGTTATCACCCTTACTATGAAATTTTATCAAAGGAGAGCAGAGAAAGAGACAGAGAGAGACAGAGACAGAGAGGGAGACAGAGACAGAGAGAAAGAAAAAAAGAGATTGGAGAGGAAAGGAGGGGGAAAGAAGGAGAGAAAGAGACAGAGAAACACACAGAGAAAGAAATTAATACATTGGAACTGGACCGCATTCAGTATCCTAGCCTAGCTACTGTAAGTTTTGTCCCATAGAAAGCTTCTCTAAAATTCTACATTTGTAATTTTAAAAAATCCAGAAATAGTGATTTCAAATGTGATAATTCTTTGAATCAGGCTAGACCCAATAGTTAGCTTAATAAATGATATCTGTTACTACTACAACTATGACTATGACTACTATTTTGACTACTACTACTACTACTACTACTACTACTACTACTGCTAAATCATTCATTATTTTGTGGTAGTGGAATACTGGACAGGAACTCTACCACATCCAGCCCTTTTTATTTAGTTGTTTATCCAGTAGGGTCTTGATTTTCTGGGCTGGTGTGAATAAGGATCTTCATACTCATAACTTTTGCCTAGCTGGCATGTCAGGCAAGAACCACTCTGTCCAAATGTGTGAGATCAAGTCTCAAGAACTTTTTGTCATGTTGGCCTCAAACTACTGTTCTTCCAGGCTACATGTCCTGAGTTACTTGGAGCCACAGTACTAGGTCTCCATAACATTTAAAACTATTTAAATATGCTTAAAAATCAGAAATAAAATTTTGGAAAGACAAATTGATAAAGGGTCACATGCAAATAAATGTATAAAATAATTTTTAATAGTAATAAGCTATATGTAGGTAAACTAATTTTTATAAAAAGGACTTTATTTTATATTTTGTCAATGGATAGAAACCCCAGTAAACTTCCTTACTTTATAGAATTAAATGATCTAAAGGAAGTCTGTATAAATATTGTTAAGTATTCAATTATTATTCTGAATAAATAAACTTATGTAAAAGTTACCTTTTCTTTCTTTCTTTTTTTTTTTTTCAGATCATAGGGTTTGAACTCTGGGCCTAGGCCCTGTCCCTGAGCTCGTCAGCTCAAGGTTAGTATTCTATCACTTTGAGCCACAGCTCCACTAATGGTTTTCTAGTGGTTAATTGTTTCCACCTTGAGCATTTGTTTAAGCCAGTTTAGGATTTAATGGCCAATTGCATTTCTCTGTTGTTGTTGTTTTCTTTTTTAAAATTATTAAAGATAAGTAGTTAAAGGAGTTGATATTCAACAAAGCAGTTTATGAATATAATGAATCTTGATTCCTGTCATCCATTTCATCATTCTCCTTCATCCCTCCCAACCCTCCTACTTCCCTCAATTTTCTTAATTTTCTTAATCTGACCAGGCTGGCTTTGAACTGCAATCCTCATATTTCTGCCTGCTGAATAAATAGGATTATGGGAGTGAACCATGGGTGCCTGCCATTACTGTTTTAAATTCTACTATACAAAGTGACTTATAACATTGCAAAAGAAAAACAAGCAAAGCTCATTGTGATTAACAGGTTGTATTTATTATTTAATATAGTATTTGAATAAAAGGTAAAATACATTGTAAAATGTTTTGCTAAAAATAAATCTTTAAAGCAGCATTTGGAAAGCTACTGGAAAACACAATTTCAAATGAAAAGCAATAATTTTCAAACCAAGATCAGTTTGTGGTCTTTTTGGGAATTTAGGGAAGCAAATTATCATTCAGTTAACTATCTGAAGCAACTTCCATAGTAAAGCATTCCGAAGACATAGAAGAGTGAGAAGCTTAAGAAAAGCACCAGCTGCCACTATGTCACTAAGTCAACACCAAATTCTCCCTGGTTCCCATCACAGGAAGGAGAAGAGAGAGAAAAGACATATTTATTGGTAATAAAGCAAAAAAACCCTGTCATTACATTTACTTTGAAGATCTTCTAAAGGCATTTTTGGTAAGGTTACTAAATTTGTGAAGAGCAGAAATAGATTGTAGTTTTTAAGGCTCAAGATCATGCATTTATAACAAAATACAATTACCAGTGTGTAAATGACACTGAGTATCATACAACATATTTAAAGCTTGTCATCTGAGTTAACAGTGCACAGATTTTTCTTTTTGAATCCTTTAGCAGTTTATAGGCACATTGCAATGAGCTTTCATACAAATGGAGTAAATGTCATTTGATGTATATCACTACAGTCTTATGACTAATTCAACAAATAACTCTTTGCGACCAACTTAAAAAAATACTCAATAGGCAAAATGCATGTTTGGGATTTGAAAGTTTCTCAAACATAAAATATTTTACAGAGTTGTAAAACAAAAGAAAACAGCACCTGAAAAGAAATGAGCAAGTAAAAACAAATTTTCACCTATTGATGTTATAAAGCAACGTTTTACACATTTGTCTTCTAGTTGGTAGACATCGAATATTTTAAATGATCACTTTTTTTCTTTAAGAAAAGTAGAAAGTACAGGAAGAAATACTTTAAAGTGACTCCAGTTTCCCAAGTAAGGCTGACGAACCAGATAAACCACAACTCACTGGTGGCTCTCATCACTTCTAATTCTTGTTATAACATGCTTTACACAGATCATATATACTCAATGTTATAATATGAATATATGGTAAGAAGACATTCAGTTTTGCCATAAGCTAGTGCTTGAGTCTATTAATGTATCAATTACCCTAATTACTATATACTAAATAAAACATGTAAATGTGGAGAAAACAAAACAAATGAAAAAGAGGGAATCCAAGAAGAGTGAAGCAACATTACTACCACTAGAAAAAGAAAAACAAAATGAAAACGTAGGGCTTCAAATAATTATTTTAAAATGTGGTTTTGATCATTCCCTGTGTTTGAATTCAAAGGCACTTTCTAAAGAAGGACATAATTCCATAATTGTCTCCACCTTGAGCACTTTTTTAGGCCATTTAGGATTTAATGGCCAATGACATTTCCCTGTTTGGTTTTTTTTTTTAATGATTAATGATAAAGACAAAGGAGTTAATGTTCAATAAAGCAGTTTATGAACACAACAAATCTTGATCCCTGTCACCCATTTTGTCTTTCTCTTCCATCCCTCCAACCCTCCTACTTCTCTCAATTTTCTTAATTTTGTAGATATGCATTAAATTTTATGACTGCATTGTCATTCCCTTCCTCTCATTATTTGTATACCCTGCTTTACTTGATCTCCCCAACTCCCAGTACTTGTTTCTCTGATGTAACTTTGTTGGACTGTGAGTTTATTTTGTTGTACTATAACTTTAAAACCTAAAACCAATAAGAAAGTGCTCCTCTCTTTGTAATCCTTAGTAATGGTGACTTCAAGCCCTTTAAGTTAGACATAAAGAAGGAAGGCTCTTTAGCTGCTCAACTTTACCATCAGAATAGTCACCCTCCAGCCAAGTCAGCTAGAGCAAACACTACCTCAGCAAAAGGCAACTTTAATATGCTTTCACTAACTGGAACAATGTTGTCTTTTTCCTTAAAGATTAGTTCGACTAAATGAAAAATATAAAAAAATGAGCTTGGAATGGAGGTTTGTGAATACAAGCTTTACATTGATACATTGTAAATCACTGATTATTGTTTCTTCTCTCTCTGACTTTTGCTTTCGTTTCTTAACAAAGTATTTACATTGGAGGATGAATGAAGAAAGCAAAAAGTCAGAAGTGGGATTATGTCTGACTTTGATTACATGACTTTTCCTTTGCTTTTTCAGTATGGGCATCTTCTTTGGCAGCTTGAGCATCCCTGTCATCATCAACGATTTGAATATCTGATGTATTTTTGTCACCTTGCCGCAAGCGGTAACTTTTATAGGCACGCTGAATGATGGTGGCTGAAACTGCCTCTTGTTTTCGTTTCAGAGTCGTTGTAATAGGTTCATATGTAATTTTAAAAGGGTTGGCTGACATAAACCCAGACTCTATCTCTGAAAGGACTTTCTCCATCCTCTCATCTTTTCCCATAACTCTTTTTGTAAGAGCAAGGAGGATGTCCAGGCAATGAATTCTGTCTCCAACAGCCATGGGAAGATCCAGAGACACAAGCTGTCCCTTGTTGGGTTTTGCCATGAAGAGAGGAGGATCAAGAGCAGCTGCAAAATCTGAAAGCTTGCTAGAATCTATATACTGGGTCCCATCAGGATCAAATCTCTTCCATACCTGAAAGAATTTCCTAAAGTCATCTTCACTCAAGGTCCTGGCTTTTTTCTTAGAAGTGATAGTTACAAATTCCATTATGACAACAATATACATATTCACAATGATCAGCCAAGCTATGAGGATATAACTGACAAAATAGAAAATGCCAACAGAAGGGTTTCCACAATCTCCTTTAACTTGAGTCCCAGGATTAATTTTATCAGGATCACAGTCAGACCATTCACTGTTGAAAATGGCGTGAAGCATCCCATCCCAGCCTGCCAATATGGTAACTTGAAAAAGACAGAGCATACTGCTGCCAAAAGTTTCAAAGTTGGACACATCATTAATTCCGGCTTCTTTTTTGACATAGGCAAAGTTATACATGCCAAAAATGGCATAGATGAACATGACCAGGAAGATGAGAAGACTGATGTTCAACAACGCTGGGAGAGACAGCACGAAAGGAAGCATCAGATCATGGAACACCTTTGGTCCTTTCCCACGACGCAGGATGTGGGCGATCCGAGAGAGAAGAATCAGTTGCACCAGGGACGGAGGAACAAGGTAGTATCCTATTGTCACAGGCACCAGTATACCTCATGTGGAAAAGATGAAGATAATAAACTCACTCACACAGAAGTGTAGTAGAGAGATATACATTATTTTGCACTTAATTGGTTTTTCTATATTTTATGAATCTCTCTTATTTTATAAAATTCTTCTATTTAATGATGAATTGAAACTTTGGGGCTACATATTAACTCTATCAATGAACAGAGCAAATAGCAAAATTGAGAGATAATTCTCTGTACTATCATCTTTAGAACATTATAGACTGAGTACTGCTAAAAATCACAGATAACCTAATTGGTAAACCAGAACAATAATCTTCAGTTTTCCTGAGTGTTGTTAAAACATGTAGTTCAATCCAACCCTTATTCAATGCTTTATAAAGGTATCATGGAACTATTCAAAGATAAGTGATACTTTTTCCTAGTCTGCAAGATTTTATAATTCAGTAACTGGTGACAGATGTTAAAATAAATATAATGCATAGTAGAAAAGCCTGACAAATTACAAAAGTGTCTGATATTCATGGTTATAATTTATTTGTTTTCCACAAGTAATATTTTGAGTCCCAGATGAACTACATTTTAATTAAATAAGAATATGTGAGTGTTTCCTTAGAGCTTAGAGATGATATAGTTGGGATTGAGAAGATGGTGGAAAAGAGAGCCCTGTGCAGAGGTTACGTGAAGTGGCATGTTAACCAATAGGAAGCATTAATCAGTATCATTTCTTTTAAACTGGGCTACTGGAAGGTGAGCTTCTTTGTGCTGTCTCTTACCCTAGGCCCATAAGTGCTTTAGGGTGTCTTCCAATCTTACTGAAATTCTCATTTCTCCTCAGTCTTCTAACATCTTTGACTACTGAGGATCTATCATTTATTAGTAAACAAATCTCTCAACTAGCTCACTACTAAAATTTCCAACTTTTTCTTATCTAAAATCTGATTGCACCTGATGACATGATTTCCCATGCCACACTTAGATAAGTGCAAGTAGCTCTTTTTTTTATATTTCTCAGGGGAAAAAATAGAAAAAGTATTATCCTTTCTTCCCAATGAAAAAGAAAGAGTAGAAACCACATAATGCCATTCATTCTCATCATTTTTATCATTAAAAAAAAAAAAGCTGGGAGCTAGTGGCTCATGCTTGTAATTCCAACAATTCAGGATGCTGAGATCTGAGGATCGTGGATCAAAGAGAGCCCAGGCAGAAAAGCTCATGGACTCACATTTTTTTTGGGGGGGGGGGTCCAGTTGTGGGGCCTGAACTCTGGGCCTGGGTGCTGTCCCTCAACTCTTCAGCTCAAGGCTAACGCTCTACCACTTGAGCCACAGTGCCACTTACGGCTTTTTTCTTTTTGCTTATGTGGTGCTGAGGAATCGAACCCAGGGCCTCAGGCATGCAAGGCAAGCGCTCTACCTCTGAGCCACCTTCCCAGCCCCTGGACTCACATTTTTAAAAATTTTATTTCCTTGTAAAGATGCTATACAGAGGGCTTACAGTTACGTCAGTAAGGTATTGAGTATATTTCTCATCCAGCATTATTATACACTCCTTTGTTTCTCCAATGAACCATCCAAAAGACAAAAGTGGAGCTGTGGTTCAAATGACATAGTGCCATCTTTGAGTGAAAAAGCTGAGGGACAGCACCCAGAGTAAGCTTAATTACATCATTCTAAGGTATAAAGGGTTTCTCATGTCGTCCTCGAACTTTAACGTATATTATATGCTAGAAGGATCATTAAGCATTTATTGGTGGTTTCTGACATAAAGTGTAAGCTCAGTAATACATTTTAAAAATATTTCATATTTTTCAAGCATGTATACATATTTGCATTTAAAAATGGGAGACATTCCTGGGAATGAGAAAGAAGTCCTTAGTTATTTTTCCTCTAGAAATACTACATTAATTTGACTGAATTAATGTTACTACAAATGAAAAACAAACCAAACAAAATATTACCTGTAATGGAGAAAACAACCACCACAAAATCAAAAATGTTCCACACAATGGTGAAATAGTAACAATGGAAGGAGATGAGTTTCAGGATGCACTCAACACTATATAGGATCACAAAAACCAGGTCAGTCCAGGTGAAAAAGACATCCATTTGTAGACTCTGTTCATCACTTTGTAACGTGAGTGTCAGTGCTTGCAGACAGATCAGAACCATACTGATGACTTTAAAGACTCTACTTGTCACAAAGTCAAAAATACAGCCTTGGAACTTGTTCTGTAGGCAAAGAAAATTAATTGTAATATTTTTACTAACATGATATTGACAAACACTGATCTATCTATCTATCTATCTATCTATCTATCTATCTATCTATCTATCTATCTATCTATCTATCTATCTATCTATCTATCTATCTATCTATCTATCTTGGTTATGGAGATCAAACCCAAGTTGTAGAACATGTTAGGCAGGTGCTCTACCACTGAGTTAGGTCCTGGGCCCATACACATACAACCATTCAAACTTTTGTCAAAGTGCTTATTTTTAAACTGTTGCCCCATAGTTTTTGAAGCTTCATCAATCATCTAGACATTTTTCTTACTTTTGGGCGAGGAACTGAGGTTTCAGAGTCTTCATACATCAGCCTCTTGAGTGCACGGTACTGTTTCTTCTGTTTGGCTGTTATGAAGATATTTGTGCCTCCCTGGTAAAACATTAAAGAAAGGGTTATTAAAATTGTTTATCCAAATTATTGTTTGCATTAGTACAAATTTTAGGAAAAATTGGCAATTATTGACCTAATTCCTGCAAAAATCATACTTGAGCACATTTGACTTTCTATGCAAAAATCCTCATGAAGCACCAGAGGGGTTATATAATGGTACTGAGTGATTTTTTAAAAATCATCTTTTTGTGTACTTTCCTATACACAATCAATCCTATATTTACTTTTGAGTTTTCTGAAGATTTTCTCTTGTTACAGAGAAACAAAAAACAATCAGTGGAGGAGATTTGGGAGCATTTTATAAGAAGAATTTAACTCAACAGATAGTTTATTTGCACCTTTTAACAAGTGGGGATAGAATTAGTCAACTGTCTTTATACAGTAATATGTTATTTTGTTTTATGAATACTAAATTCCAAAAATATATTGTGTGTAGTTCTTCACAGAACCTTCTGATGTATCTTTGTGTTTCTACTGCTAACTTCAGTATATCAAGCAAGCTATGTAAAATGAATAATGTCTGAATGATGTAAGCATTCAAAGTCATTAATGTCATAAATCAGAAACTGTTTATTACTGATAAGGTTCACCACCATGACGCCTAAAAGTAAATTCTAGGGTGTTATCCCATTGGTTGAAGTGGCAGCATCCACTAAAAACAACTCTTGATCAACCCAGCTCTTTGCAAACACCTGGTTCATGGAGATGTGGGGTGTTGGGTCAGATTAAGTAAATGGCTTCAGTGTGATGGCATGATTGTAGGTGGAACTTCAAAATTATTCTGTCTTTGGTTCTTTTGTCTTTTCTATACATGATAGAAAGAAGGTCACTTAGCAGGGCACATGAGTGGACTTAAATGACCTTTTAAGGCTTTTCCATTTGTGGAAATCCAGAAAGAATCTCTGTACAGAATGATATCAGTGGTTGTTTAGTTCTCTCTCAACCGTTGTCTCAAGCGTTCCTGTTCTGTATTCAGCTAGGGCTTATTATTTTTTCTACTGCTAGCAGCAGGAACAACATAACTCAGAAATTTGCCCCATTCTGACTATGATTCTGAGGGCTTTCAAATATACCAAATGAAAGAGGATTTTTCTTTTGGAGTCTTCACATATTTATGGCAGTTATATAATAATATCACTTAGTCGTTTTCAACACATTATTATTTAGAAAAACATTAAAATGTAGGTAGTTTATAAATTTCAAACTTGTAAGGATACATTTTGAATACATTTTATTAGAAATGTCTCAATTAAAAGAGGTAAGTAGAATCTAAAGCCAATAACCAAAGTAGAATACTTTTTATAAATGTGTCTTATTTTTCCTAGCATTTATGAGCAAAAAATATTTATACTTATCTTTATTCTGTGCTTGTTAAAATTAGAAACAATAGCACCAATCAGCATACTTAGGGGAAGAAATAATCCAAAGATAATGAAGTGGAGAAAGTATAAATACATGTAGATGTTGTTTTCAAAGGAAGGCTGCACATTTACCTAAAATGGAGTAAAAAAAAAAGCAAAACAATTGCATTATTTATTTCAAAAGTGTACAATTTAACTTTTACGTTTATCTACCTTCTATGCTTAATTTTAAGCAGTTTCAACACATTTTCCAAGTAACATTAGATATGCTTTTTCCCCTTTTCTTAAGGAAATTTGAAATATACAATATTTAGGCATAACCTCAATATTTAAAATACAATCAGACATTGTGTTTAAGTGTTGCTGACATTTCAGATAGATCTGTACTAGTCATTCAGAAATGTCCAGAATTTATCTGCCTTCTTAGCACAGTAAGCAGTGCATCGGTCTCATAATCTGAAGAAATGTCCAGAATTTGTACAATACCTAAGAAGAAAGTGACTCTATAAAATATATTTCAAAAATATTTTAAGTTTTAATTTTTTGTATTTACTATTTAATTGTTCATTTATTATCATTTTAAATGTGTGATTTATAAAGTAATTTGTTATAAGGAAATACAGCAATGCTATGTGAAATAATGTTTTCTCCTGGTGAAAGAATCCCATTGCTTTCTTGATTAGCATATTAAAGTTTGTTTCATTGGTTTAATATTTGCTACCAAGTGTGGTAATCTTCAAGTAGACCCACTGATCTTCAGTCATTGTTCACATTACTGAAAGTTGTCATTGCCCATGGAAAACACATATACACTGGATCCTGTCCTTCAATCACAAAAATAGGACTCTTCTTGCACTTAACAATCCCTTTAGGGTGATTTTGTACTTACAGTGGTAGAATCAACAGCTGAATTCATGATATCAATCCAGCCATTAAATGTTGCCTGTTATAAACAAAATGTATTTAACTTTGATGGAAATCTCCATCTCATAGTAAATAAAAAATAAAACTAAATTTGCTGTTAATATTCTGAAAGACTTTAGAGTATGGATTGCCAAACTTCAACATACTGTATAATTGAAGTATGTAATTATATTAATTGGTAACTATTTTAGTTTATTCATCTTTAATAACAAAAAACAAGAAAAAGAGAAACTAGAAGAGAAAAAGGTAAATAGTAAGTACATTCTCTCAAATAGCCTATATGTATGATATATATACATATATATATGTATACTAAAGAGGGAGACAGCTTCTCTGAATAACTAAAAATGAAATAGTGTATCCCTTCATGTCTACTAGATATCAAGTCATGAAGTAGTAAGAGCAAGCTGGGCACCAGTGACTCATGCCTATACACCTAATTACTCAGGAGTCTGACATCTGATGATTGAGGTTCAAAGCCAGCCTGGACAGAAAAGTTCGAGAGAGTCTTGTCTCTAATTAATTGGCCCCCAAAACTAGAAGTGGAGCTGTGGTCAAGTAGTAGAGCTCTATGCTTGAGCAAAGAAACTCAGGGTCAGTGCCAGAGTTTAAGCCATAGGACCAGCACACAAACTAAAATAAAAAAAATAGAATAAAAACAGTAATACCTGAAGTTGGACCAAAGAATTGCAATATTATTATCAGTTATTGATATGGAAAATAATTTTAACCAATACCCGTGGTTTCCTTTTCAGTGGTCCCTCTTATTTCCTTCTGCCAACAGGAGAACCGTATTTCCCTTTTGTCTCTTTAAAGGAGCCTAACACAGTATGTTCTGTGACATTCTATTAACTAATAATTGCCAACATGTTTTATAACCAAATGTACTAATGATCTACATCTTATTCTGTATATTCAGTCTACAATACAGAAAACCATATGATTCATTTTCTTTCTTTTTTAAAAAAAAAGGTGTAAAAGTATACTTACAATTTGAAATAGAGACAGAAAGCCATTTCCAACATTATCAAAATTCAGTTTTGCATTTTCCCATGGCATGGTTTCATTAAAGACAAGGCTTTCACATTGACTCCTGTTCATAACCTCAAATATAGGAAATTTTTCTCCACTTGTTGGGTCAAAGCAGGCATAGAATGTGCCGGCAAATAAGTTCACTCCCATCACACTGAAAACCAGCCAGATCATAAGGCAGACCAGAAACACATTCAAGGTGGGTAAAGTTGTTTTTATCAATGCTCTGACAACTACCTGTTATTAAAAACATGTACCTTAAGTAAGAAATGTGAAATTATTTTAATTTCTGATGAAGTAGAAAATACTATTTAATATAAATGAAATCTGTGGAAGAGAAACAAAAAAAGTTTATAGTGAGCAGCCAACATGCAAGCATTGGAATAACTAAATAGAAATTCAATTTATTGAAAATATATGTTAAACATTGTGACAGTTTCAAATTCTTTGAGGCAACAAAGCTAACTAGTACTAATAAGATTTAATTTCAGTAACTTAACATATGTCTAAAGAGTTGCTGTATTGGAAACAGAAGTGGTCAAGATAAACAAAGTTGTGTTTCTATGAGATTATCTAGAAAATATGTAAAGTGGGAGAGAAGGGTGGCTAACTATTAAGGACCTACTCTCTGGGACCTACGGAAGGAGTGAGATGGGGAATAAGAGGCCAAGAGTATGATGGAAGGCAGGGAAGGTTTAGCAAACACTGAGTGGTGGTCAGGTGTAACTTTTTACTGAATTATCTTCCACCACCAGTGAGTCACACCAGACTGGGAGGTTTGGCAGATTAATCCACTACCCAAATTTGACTACTAAGAACACTCTATAGTCATTGTTTTCACTCCCTTGACTCAATATTGGCCATTTTGTATAGTCGAATCTACTAGTTTTCTTCACATTGGTCAGAGAAGGCTTAAACAATGAAGTGGGACAGAAAGGACAAATATTAACAATAATGTATGATATACAATTTTTATTTTGAAATTCGAACTTGTGTTTGTTCAGTGACTAGTGTGTACAATATTTTAAAATTCAAAAAGTTACTTAACTTAGCAAAGTTTCATTTTCCACCTTTATTTTTTATTGGAGAAACTTAAACTCAGCTGTATGTCTACGGGTTAGAAAGACACTATTTTTAAATGAGATTTTATCTTTTAACAATTAGTTTCACTTCCTTATCTTTATTAGTTCTCATTTCTTTTGATCAATAAGAACCTCATTATACAAAGCAAAACTAACATACTTGTTCCCTTCGTTTTATGCAGAAGAGGATTTTGTTGCATTAATGAGGTTATAGGTCCCAGTGAGAAGGTAATACAATTTATTAGCTCTTAGAAAGTTAGTACAATCCCCAATAAAACCCAGACAGCAGTCCAGAAACTTTTGTCTTACCTTCATTCTTTCAAATTGAGACAGAACTCTGAGGCCCCGAAGGAACTTAATGGAAGTGAGTAGTTTTAGGTCATCCCGAGTTTTGCCTATTAAGCTGAGACAAAATACCTGTATAGATATTTTTAAAAAGAGTCAATATGATCCCAAGAACTGAAAGAATATCTAAAAACTATAAAAAGTATACTATAAAAAGTATAGTCAAAACCTACTAATAAATCTATGAAATGTTTTAAAATACTTTAATAATAGCTTAACAATGTTTTAAGAAATCACTTTGTCTTAAAATCCTTTAAATATAAAAATATTTTTGATGGAAAGAACATAAGTTACTGAAAAAAGATCTATATACTTACGTATTTCATGTTCTTTGTGTGGGAGAAAAGAGGGTGGTTGTGTATGTATGTGTGTTCACATTAGTCCCCAGCCTCAAACTCAAAGCTTAGGTGTTGTCCTTTAGCATTTTTGCTGAAGGTTAATTCTCAACTACTTGAACCACAGTTCCACTTCCAGCTTTTCTGCTGGTTAATTGGAGATAAGAATCTTACAGACTTTCACACCTGGACTGGCTTTGAACAGCAATAATCAGATCACTAGCTGTCAAGTATCTAGGATTACAGGCAAGAGCCCACCAACACCTGGCGATATATGTTATATTCTTAAAAAAATAATTTATTGTTATTATAACAATTTATATATTATTATAAAACCCCTCTGTACAGAGGTATTATGGTTACATAAGTCAAATAAAGCATACATTCCTTTTTGAACAATGTCACTCTTTGTTATACTCTTTAGGATCAAGCATAAATATTTTTATCCTAGGCTAAAATCAATTAAGAATTTTATGATTATTTTCATTACCATAATGATATGTATATATTCATTAAAACAGTTTGAAATATTTATTTGTATACATACATAGTTAAGACATTATACACAATATTATTTTATTTAGAGAAGGCTATGCATGTCATTTATTCAAAAATAAAAATTGTAATAAAAATGTCTGTAATTCTAGTTACTCTGGAGACTGAGATCAGGATAATCAAGGTTGGAAGTCCACATCCTAGATCAACCAGCAGAAAGTGGTGAGCACTGACGAACACTCTTGTCATCCCAGCTATGCTGGGATAAATAACGTTGTGGTTCAGCTGGGAAAAAGTATGAGGCTGGTAAAAAAAAAAAACCCTAAAAGGATTGAGAGTATAGCCTTGGTGACTTAATGTCTTCCTAGCAAGTGAAAGGTCCTGAAGTTCAAAGCTCAGTACTACTAAAAAACGTATAAGTTATAAAATTGTAACTCTACAGTGAGGTAAACTTTAAAATAAATATAGCTACATGAAATTATTAAGGATTAATAAATGTGAAGTTGAGGCAAGGTTGATGGAGCTCTGATGTTCACTGTATTCTATCACCATGTTTTGCTATTTTCAAGTCAATGTACATGAATGCACTTTTTCTGCTTTTCTTTTTCTTTCCTTTCTATTGGTAATAATTGGGTTTGAACCCATGACCTCAAGCTTCCTTTCATTTGAGTCATACCCCAACCATTTTTGCCAAGTTATCCTCAAATAATAATTCTCCCATTCTCCACCTACCAAGTAGCTTGGATTGTAGGCATATATAACTTCACTCAGCTGTTTGTCTTTTTTTCTATACTAGGAATATGGGCATGAACATGTCTTTGAAGCATGGGGATCATTCATATAAGCATAAAATCTACAAAAATAGTGACTATGAAAGGATTTTTTAGCTATCCTATGGTTGGCATGAGTAGAAGTTTAATTTGCAAGAATAATTCAGAAGAATGAAGTTAGCTCTTACAACTCATCAACTGTAGATTGAAAACATTTCATCATTATAGACTAGACAGCCATTTATTCATTCAACAAACATTATTATCACCAATAATATGATACGAATTTCTCTAGGCATAGAAATAAAGGAAGGAAGAAAACTGAGAAAAAATTCTCTGCTGATAGAAATTGTCTTTCCGTAGGGGAAGAAAAACAGTAACCAAAACAAAGGAATAAATAACATATTTAATGGGTTATGAAGATAAAATAAATCAGAGTACTGAAGTGGTTTGTAGTTTTGATTACCTAATGAAAGAAGATCTAACTTGAATAGTTTCATTTCAGCCATGATATAAACAACAAAATTTCAGTGGAAGAATGAGTTCAGATACTAAAATGGAAGTAGTGTTGACTAGTTTAGGAACTTCAAAAGTGTTGGTAGTGAGTGTATTAGCTGGCATGACAGGAAGGATGAGGAGAAGCGACACTTAAGATCAGGTCATATAGCCTTGTATGTCTTTAATTATAAAGATTGTTGCTTTGGTTTGACCAAGCGTGAATGTTTAGGATACAGCTCCAAGAAGGGAAGTACATATAAGACAATCCTACAATCATCACTCTTGTTGGTACTTGGGAAATTAAAAAAAAATGTAGCAGAAACAAGAATGCCAAAGTAAAATGAATGGCAGTGATTCAAATGAACAATTCAACAGTGTGGGTGCTGGTGAAATTTTCAATAAATAGTTATGGATATACTGTTTAAAAATAGAACTAATAAATGTCAGCGTACTTATATTTTCATGATACTGTGTCACAAGCTTTTCTGTTACCATAGGGTTGGTAGGTGAGTAATTACAATAATGAGCAGTATAATATTGAGTGTATTTTAAGATTTAAAATGACAAGATATGAATGAATATTAAACTACAGATACAGAATGATGGAGTATGGATATGAAAGTACACAGAGATGGAAAAAAGGAGCTCTAATTAAATAAAAGGGCAAGAGGAAAATGAAAGTGAATCATCCTTCAAATTCTTTCTTCAAAATACGTACAAGAACAACCATGAAATCCAGCTTGTACCAGCTATTGGAGAAATATGCTTTAAAACCATATGCTATCCATTTTAGAAGCATTTCCAGAATGAAGATGTAGGTGAAGATCATGTCAGCATATTCTAATAAGATTTTAATAGTCTTTCGCTGATCAATATAGATATCCTCAAAAGCCTGTGGGTAAAAAAGTTAAGGATTAGCATAAATATAATTTCTGAAAGCTCTGACATTAAAAGGAGTGACATTCTACTTCCAACAAAACCAGATACAAAACTAAAGGAAAAATCTTTTATAATAATAAAGCAACCAATATCATAATTACAAATCTGTATCCACAAATAATTAGTGATGAAAAATTTTAATGATTTTAAAAAGAAATTTAAAAAATTTGGTATTGTGGGATAGTTGCATATATTTTTTAAATCGCTAATAAAGGAGACTAAATGTTCTTCACTGTATTGAACAGGATATGGCAGGTGGAGTCACTAGCTATAAGATGACATAATTGTACCTAACACATCAGATACCATATACTTTTCAGGTACATATTGAATATTGTAGTTGATTATGGGTAGAGTTGTTCACCAATAGCTACCATTCCACAGCAACTATGAGTTCATCTCCTAATATAACTGAAACTCTCTATGAAGAATTGCCTCTAGCAGATGGGAACACCAAAGAGACAGTAAGAGGGACACAATTCAACTGATGGCTAACTAACATAGAGAGAGAGAAAAATCAGAAATCTCCTTACTCAGAGTGGAAGTATATCATGTATTTTGGAGCCCAGAAATGTTCCTCTCATATTAGACTTAATCAAGTTTTGCTTGAGGATCTGGAAAACCCACTCAGTGTGGGAAGTACCCTAGCAAGGACCTCTTTAAGATTTGCCTTGACCTCATTTCCTGACCCCTGATGGATTAACAGTCAGAACTCCTCATAAAGAAGTTAGAGAATTTCTGGTAATGCTAAAGAAGAAAAAGGGTGCTTGCCAGACAGAGCACCTGGTACGTATGTAGGATGTGATAAGATGAACTGAAGGAAGTGAGAGAGGTTGCTTGGGTGTGGATCCTCAGTGTGTGGAAGGGTGTTTTTTTTTCTTTTTTTCACTTCCCCATGGATTCTGTAACAGATTATCACAGTGAGTGTCTGACAACCATCCAAATATAAATGCTTACAAATCTTGAAGTCAGATGTCAGAAAGCAGTTGTGTGAAGCTAAAAGCAAAATGTCCAGAGAGCCAATTCTAGACAGAATATTCAGGAATAAGGCATTAAGGGGGCATGCTATGTCTTCACTAAACTTGAGGCTGTTGTCACTTGGTCACTTTTGACTTCTTACAATACAGTAGCACGTAAAGGAAAGAGTGACCAGTCTAGCAGGACTGATTGGCCATGATTATCATGAAGAAGTGGATATTGCAAACAAATGAGAAAATGAAAAAATAAACAAGTATATAAGGGCTGAATCTATTATTATAAAGCTAAAAAACTGGGAACATTAATTTATAGCAGTTGAAGTTCGCATACTGGCTTTTCATGTGGTGATGGGGAGTTACTGTGTGGGGTCCCAACACAATTCCAGTTACAATTAAATGTCAAAACTGTGTAATTCTGGAACTCAGGCAATGTTCTATCAATCTAAGTGACAGCTTCATTCACTCTGTGAACCTCAGTAATCCTGAGTATCCCAATAAATGCAGTATATAGTATGTGTGATAAATACTAATTGATAATATACTTTACAAATATATACAGCCCAATGCTGGGGGGCTCATGCCTGTGATCCTATCAACTCAGGAGCCTGTGTTCTAAGGATTAAGTTCTGAAGGCAGCCCAAGCAGAAAAGTCTGTGAGAAGCTTACCTCCAATTAACTATCACCAAAAAAAAATAATAAAAGAAAAAATGAAAACAAAAAGCCAGAAGTACAGCTGTGGCCCAAGTTGTAGAGGGCTAGCCTTGAGCAAGCACAGAGACAGCTCCCAGGCCCTGAGTTCAAAGTCCAGTATGAAGTCTGCTTTCCAGCAATGACTTGTCTGTTCATATCAAATACAAACCAATTCACTAATACTCTAAATTTCTTACTTTCTTACATAAAAGAGAATATGTCATAAGCTTTAAAATATTGGACAAAAATATTGAACATTCTTTTAGCATGTTATAAAATAATGTAGCATTATAGTATCTATCTATCTATCCATCTATCTATCTATCTATCTATCTATCTATCTATCTATCTATCTATCTATCTATCTATCTATCCAGATCTTATGTTTGAGTAATAGTTGCTTTTGTAGATTTTTATCATAGCATATCTTAGCTATTATGAACACATTCTCTACTCAAATTTGGTTATTACCAAAAATATTTATGAGAATAACCTTGTATATAAAATTGGCACATGTACCTATACATACAGTATAGTTTCCCCTACTTAATTTTGGATTGAAGACTAAATACTTTGTACTTCCAAAGCCCTTAAAAAGTCATGAGATACTTCTCTTTCCTTATTGAGCACCAATCAATAGGTTAGTTTAAATGTTCAAATTATTAATTTGCTTAATGAATAAAACAATTGAAATCAGAAGATTTAAATGTCTATTTTTATTCTTTTTTGCCATTCGAATTCATACTGTTTTTTGGTCAGCTGTAGGGTTTGAATGCAGGGCCTGGGCATTGCTTCTGAGCTCCTTTTGCTCAAGGCTAACACTCTACTTCTTTAAAACACAGAGACACTTCCAATTTCAGAGTGTTAATTGGAGATAACAGTCTCACTGGGACTTCTCTGCCTGGGATGGGTTTGAACCATGATCCTCAGATCTCAACTTCCTGAGTAGCTAAGATTACAGGTGTGAGCCACCAGCACCAGGCTCATATATATTTAAAACTATATTATCTATGCAATTTTGATGCTTAAATTTAATAATAAATTTTAACATTGAATGATCCATACAGAAACTGTAACACAGTTACTGAAATAAAATGATAGAATATTAAATCTGGTGTGATATAAAGCATTCTGGGGAATGTAGTCTGGCAATGTGACTTTCTTAATGAACTGAGTTTACCTTGACTTCTCACTTACCAGAGCACCAGTGCTGAGCAGAGTGACAAGGCCAATGAAACCCTTAAACCAAATGTTTTCTACAATCTTGCAGCAGGTCTTCCTTATATTCTGCCAAATCTTTCCTCTTCTAGATTGTTTATTGATCTGACCAATTGAAGATCCCCGTCTATAACCTGTCAAGGATGAATGGTTAAGGACAAATATCTAGAAAACTCAAGAAAAATAAACATCTTAAATGTTAGACTGCATGCTTCAGCAACTATTTGCAGACTCTAAGAAAGGGAAGTTAAAAGTGAAAAAATATTTTATTTTAGATTTTTGCTCTGTGCCCAGTTATTATCATTATTATCATGAGTGATCATTTCTTGCTTTGTCTTAAATGATATATGTCTTGGGTTTACCTGGGTGACAATAGTCTTATTCTAAAGGTAGAAATTTGATACTTAGCAGTGACCATTTTGATGACTTCCTGTTGCTTTCAAATGACCAAACCTGTAGTGAGTTGTTAATTTTGCCAGGAAATAAGCTTAAGTTATAAACCATAAGAGATTAAAAGTTATATATCAAGTGTGTTAGATAAGTGGAGCTGTATATTGTATATTTGTATTCATGTGAAATTTATAATAATATCACCATTATAATTTGTTTTATTATGAAAGTTACAGTGCTTTTTGTAATGAGTAGAATATTGTCTTTAATTCAAAAGATGAAGACTATTTCACTCAATATATGTATCAATAATGTAATATATATGTATCTATAATGTAATATTTAATTTATAATTTATATTATATATACATTAAGTTATAAAATTATATTAAATTATAGACACACATATATATTCCACTGATGATTTAGATATACTTTCTATATTTTTATTATGCTTAGATTATGCTATATTTAAATTTGCAGTTACATTATTATCAGTATAAATTTAGATAAACAAATTTGTATATTTTAGTCTGTATTATTTGTAGCATAAAATGTACCTTGTGATCAACATTATTTGCTGATATTCCACTGACATATACTGCTCAATAGTACTTTTCTGAATTGACTATCCATTGGATTGTTATCTTTGTAAGCTAAGTCAGTGAACTTTTTCCTTAATGTTGACTTTTATCTTGGCATCTATTTGTGCCTATGGAAATATAGGTGGTGTATGTATATATTCCCACAGATTAATATGGCTGCAACTCCTTGAAAATTTAAGGAACTCTTTAAGACTGAAAACAACCAAAAAAGCATTATTTGGGTTAAGAAACAGTCTAATCACACTAAAATTTTCCCAGAAATTTTTTCTTACCACTTTTAAGATGCCTTGGCTTTTCATGTCCATAGATGATTTCTTCTTCTTCAGAGATAGCAATATCAACTGTACTGCATTCTGATGAGCTTGATTGCTTTATTTTCTAAAAACATATAGTCCCACAAATAATTATATTAAAGTTTGATTTGTTCAGTATAGCTATGACTTATTCCATTTTGAGAACAAAAATTATTTACAGAGCAAATGTGATCCAGTTTAAGAAAAGCCTCATGACACTTTTACGATTGATATCGAAAGGTATTGGCATACATTGAAACTTCAATTTTTTTAAAAAAATACTTAATTTAAGGTAGAATAACAGGTTAAATTTAACATTTAGCAAGTAATGTTTTGCTTGTCAATATTTATATGCAACCTCTAACTTATGAAGGAAATTTTATTCTAGTTTTTTTTGGGGGGAGGATGGGGGTGGGGGGATCTGGTCTTAGGGCCTGAACTCTGGGCCTGGGCACTGTCCCTCAGCTCTTCAGCTCAAGGCTAGCCCTCTACCGCTTGAGCCACAGTGCCACTTCCAGCTTTTTTCTTTTTTGCTTGTGTGGTGTTGAGGAATCGAACCCAGGGCCTCAGACATGCAAGGCAAACACTCTACCACTAAGCCACCTTCCCAGTCCCTCCAGTTTCCTTAAGGGGACCAAAAGGGTTCTGTATATACTAATTCAACTACATGAACAGCATAAAAACAAATGATTCCTTCATCCTAAAAATAAGAAGATAACAATGTAGCAGATCTTCTTGCATTTCCCATCATTGATGAGTTGGATAGAAAACCATGATGAAGTGAAATGGAAGAAAGGGAGAAGGAATGGGGCCATGAGAGTCTTATGAAAGTAACAGAAGCTATATAGTGAGTGCCTGGATCTAGCAATGAACTTTCTTCTTCTTCCCCTCCCCTCCCCCTCCCCCTTCCCCCTCCTCCTCCCCCCCTCCTCCTCCCCCTCCCCCCCTCCTCCTCCCCCTCCCCCTCCCCCTCCCCTTTCCCCTCCCCTCCTCCTCCTCCTCCTCCTCCTCCTCCTCCTCTTCTGTAATTTGCCAGTCCTGGAGCTTCAGGGCCGGCATACTGTCCCTGAGCACTCTACCACTAGAGCCACAGCACCACTTCTAGCTCCACAGCACCACTTCTAGCTTTTTCTGTTTATGTGATACTGAGGAATTGAACCTAGGGTTTCATGCATGCTAGGCAAGCACTCTACCAATAAGCCACATTCCCAGCCATTGACCTTCTTTTCTACTCTGCTTCTGACTCAAGTTCAATGCTGGTTAAGCCAAGGAGGTCATTGCTCTGCACCTGTGGTGATAACGATAATGATGTAATTTGCTTTTATGCATTTTAGTGAATGCTTTATTTTCATTACACCTTTTCTATGTGCATTTTAATCCAGACTTTGTAGTGGTATTTTTAAGAACTCCCCATAACTCCTCTAACATGATGAATTATAATAAAAAAAATAGCAATTTTATCCAGAGGTGGACGATCGTCAAATTCTTCAGTGAAGGTAGAGAAATGTGATGGGTACCGTTTTCTTGCAATGGTATTAATTAAAGGTAAATATCGAGGAGGAATAAAAATGCTTCTCAATAATTGAAATTCAACTTCCAGACCATTTTGAGAAGCCATTGAATACAATGCCTAAAAAATCAGAATAAAGTATGCCAGAAGGTTTGGAGACCTGGAGACATCTTTTGATGCCTTTGAGTAATCTAGTTCCCCAGTTAGGGCCAAAGCAAGAAGCTTACAGTTCAGTGAGCTTTCTGTAGATATAGTTTCCTATAAAACTATACCTCCTACTAAATTATTATACTGTTACAAATGGAAATAAGAAAACCTTTCTGGTAGGGTACATATTTTTAAAATCAAAGTGATAAACAACAGTGTTTCAAAATGTGACTCCAGGGGTTGGGGATTTAGGTCAGTGGAATAGTACTTGCACGGCAAGTGTGAGACTTAGAGTTTGTTCCTCATCTCTGCAAAAAATTAACAAAGAAGGAAGGGGGAAATGTGGCTATTTTACAGCTTGGTATCTGCTTATGAAGCTATGAGGCATTTGCAACTCTTTATTTAATTTTTCTTTCTTTCTTTATTTGTTTTATGGGAATACTGTACAGAGGGGTTACAATTACATGGGCAAGATAACGAGTACATTTTTTATCAAGCATTGTTGCCTATTACAACTTCATTTGATAATTTTTAGGTTGCAGAAATTGACCAGACTTCTAAAATTTTAGCAAACAGGAAAGAATATTTTCCCTGTTTAAACCTAATTTCATATATTGGGGACAATGAAGCCCAAGGAAATTGACAGATCTTGCCATGCTTACACATGATTTTTACAAGTGTAGGTGACTGCAAAATACTTTCCATAACTCCAAACTGCCTTTTTTATTAATTTACAGAATTTAACCATTGTGCCATCTAGTATATTCTAAGTGCTTACCATATATCAGGCATTGTTCTTTACAGTGCAGTTTTTTTTTTGGGGGGGGGTCCGGTTGTGGGGCCTGAACTGTGGGCCTGGGCACTGTCCCTCAGCTCTTCAACACAAGGCTAGCGCTCTACCACTTGAGCCATAGCGCCATTTCCAGCTTTTTTCTTTTTGCTTATGTCGTGCTGGGGAATCAAACCCAGGGCCTCAGGCATGCAAGGCAAGCGCTCTACCGCTGAGCCACCTTCCCAGCCCTATAGTACAGTTTTTTTTTTTTTTAATTTATTATCCTCCCTAGAAAGTACAAGTTTATCCTCAATTACAGATGCAGAAACTAACATTCTGGAAGTTGAAGTAAGCTAGTCAAAGCATAGACTTCTCAGTGAGGAGTGGTTGAACTAGCATGGAATGGATCATCTGACTCAAACCTCAACACTGATTTACTTTCTTTTCTACAAGACAATACATCAGCTCTAAGCAGTCAGGATAATAGAAATGTCTTACCTCTTTGCTGTCTCTGTTGCCTGACATGCTCCGAATCTCCTTGTTATCTAGGTTTTCTATATCAGATTCTCCTGAAGCGATTGGTACAGTTTCTGAGGTACTAAAGCTGGGCCTGAGTGACTGACTCTCATTTTCAGTCAGTGGTGTTTTCTCTGTGCCGTTGCTCTTGTCCTTATCTTTCAGGAAATCTTGGGTGTAGCTCAGTTCAGAAAGAGTGTGGTCAGAAATATTCTCTTTAAAATAAGTGTCACTCACATGGTCTATTGTTTCCTTTGGAACATTTTGCTTTTTGCATAACATTTTACTAAGGACATTGTTCATTCCTTTCTTCATCTTTTCCATTGCCTGCTGGATGTTTTTTATTTCATTGCTCTCTCTGGTTGTAACATCCTTACATGAGCTAAATGAACTCACCAATGCCACAAACAGGTATAGGACCTAAACAAAATTTAAAATGAGATAAAATCGCTTACTTTTTGCTTTATTTTAAATAAAAGAAAATGATCTAAAAAGTCTGACATGAGATTTGAACAGAAGCATATGAACTCCGCTGCTATCCAGTCATATTCACTGATTATGTGTCAGGTGCAATACTAACAGTTCCTATGGCCAAAATGCACTTTAAACTCTGAATATCCAAAGCATCATTATTGGTTCTCTTTGCAGGATGAAAACTTCAAGGCTTAATGGATGTCAAATGCCAAAGGTCAAACAGATTATACTTAATTCTCATTTATTCTAAAATGTATTTTATTATCAAGGCAGGCTGATTTATTCAAGGTAAAAACAGATATTGCAGCCCTTATACAACCGTGTAGACACAGCTTTGTAAAACAGAGGAATCAACCATGGAGCAACTATTCATGGTGCTGAAGATGTTGTTTTTGAGATGTGCAAACACAGACATTAGGGAGGTTAGTGGATTTTCTTTGGAAAACATTTGGTCAAATAAGAAATAGATAATGATAAAGGGATCGCTCTTGATTCACTATTTAAAGCTAAGGAATAGCATCTTCTAACTTTAATATCATTGAGAAAAATGTCCAAGCAAGTTTGCAGAGATTGAGATCTTGATTTTGTTTGAAATTTTAGGGCACAGAATATATTTTTGTGCTGTATTATTGCAGATTCACATTTACTACCAAGATTTAAAATAATAATTTGAGCATTTGACATTACGAAGGATTTCCCTATTCTCTTTAGTTATTTGAAATTTTGATTTATTTTGTTTTAAATATTATTAGATTTTCTCATCTTTCTGTTAATTTTGTATTTTTGTTAATGGGCTTACATGAAATATTTCCACCCACATAGTATGTGTTATTTTGAGAGGAGAAAGTTCAAATTGCATGCACTATGCTTAACAATGTATATATTTTCCTATTTACACTTCCATATAGACTCACATAATAAATACTTGTCTACTTGTATTTCAGAATTCTTTGCATACTAAAGTCTAAATTTAAAACATTTTTTGCCATTTGTATTTATATATAATGTGTGGTTATTTCTTATTCCTGCTTTGTTTGCTTAAAACGTAAGACTAGTGACCCAATAAGGGAAGATGGTGGGCAAAGCATAATGACAGTTCAGTCATAACCACATCTCTAGTAGACAAACGCTGTTAAGAAGATGCAAGTAACAAATGAATACTCAAACTAAAATGAATTATAGAATGTACAATACATTTGTTTTTACTAGGATTCAGAGAATGAAAGTATGCCGTGTACAGTGTGCTGGTTATGTTTTCATGAGACTGTAAGATTTTTTTTCTTAGACAATGCATCACACATATATCCAGCCAGATATAGGGAGAGGATTAAAAGTCTGAAATGTATTTAATGTTAAAAGATCCAAATGATTCAGAACAGCACTATAAGGAGTGAACTTCATAGCATTGCATACTCCTGTCGCTTTGATTTGATGTGTTGCAAATTGAAAAATAACCTCAACTTTTTAAGGCACAAAAAGAAAATACTGGCTTGTAAATGTCGGAGGATATGAAGGTCACTTATTTATTATGTGTTGGCAGTTAATTTTTAGAAAGACAGAAACCCTATCATTATCATAGCATATACTAGGTTCCTTTTGTTAGCACTATTACAGTCAGAGTTAAAGGAAATATGTAGTATGTGTGCTGAGTTGAGATAAAATAACAGGCCATAAAGCAAACTATTTAAAAATTTCCCCAGAAAATTGCTCTTACCTTCCTTAAATATAACCACATATTGAGTGAGAACTGAGTACTTGTATCAAAATAGTGGCATAAACAAAAAACAAATACAAATTTGTTTCAGTAATTCTTTTGATTTGGAATCAAATCAGACATAAACATATAGTAGGGATCTGACAAATATTGAAATACATTATTTTAATATTATGTCAATTATATTTGCATATATTTAACTTGGCAATGTGTATATATATGTGGAATAACAAGTGCATGATTTAAAAAATTAATCTCCATTTTTATAAATCTATTTCTTTTCTTTTCCTGTTTGCATTCCTATTGTTTGACTTATGGAACCATAACCATAACCAGGTTCAGTGATTGATAACTGTCTAAATCATAGGTATACATGGAAATAAAGTATGTATGTAAGAAAACAATAGCTCTAAAATAGGTTGCAAGTCTAGCTCAAGCTGTAAAGATGAATAATCAAGTCCAGAAAATGCAAGAATGAATTAAAGCTTCAGTACCAGGTGAAAAAGGAAACAAAGTTCTGAAAAATGTTTTTTAAAATTATAAATTATTAAAAATAATTGTGATTCTGAGGTAAAATTTTTGTATTATATGTAAATGCAAACAAACATTTATAAATTAAGCATAGAGTACTAGGTTATTTCACTTAGTTACAAGAACACTGAGTCAGGCATTACAATTTTGCTCAATGTCTCACTAAATGTAGTCACATTTAGAGAAGGTAACTTTTATGGTTGTTTTAAGGCTTTTGAGAAAGCACTTGATCTTTATGACATAAGAATAAAATGAAAATATTGGATTTTTTCCTGTAACAACCATTTTTATAAGCCATATCCTTTTCTTAGAAGTAGTAAAAAAATTATTCAATTCATATAACACAGGTTCGATTATAGGGGGAGTTTAAAGTAAAAGCTTACACTGCAAGATAATGCATAACAATTTTACAACCTTTATTACACATTTAGTCGAGAGATTTTTTTTAAATTCTGAACACCATTGCTATGTTCACATAGCCATAAAACCAGAATCTCTGGGAGTGGGTTCAAGACATCAGTATATTATCTGTGATTCCCAAGGTAGCTCTATGTGCAGGCAAGTTTGACAACCAGTGTTATATTTAAGTGCTTCTTAAAACATAACGGGCAGACAAATCACCCCGGGGCTATTGGTAGAATAGATGATGCTTCTGTATATCTGGGATGGGCTCCAAGAGTCTGGATTGCTTACCACCTCCCACATGATGCCAGGGTTACTTCAAGTAGCAAGGTGACAAACTTACTTCATAACGGAAATGCGATGCAAGTCACATATGCACTTATCACAAAAAAATAAGCAATTGTAATCAAATATAACTGAAATTAATTTTGCACATGGACTTGTTTGAACTAAATATATCTATATTCGCATAAGCATTATTTAAAATGCATTCAATATGAAAAAATCCATTATGCAAAATATTAATGACAAAATTGACATTCAAACACGGATAAGAATTTAAATTCAGTGTGTATATATTTTATACTTACTGAACATCTCACTTCACAGCAGTCATTTTTCACCTGATAACATCCATATGGGCATAGTGACCACTACATTTGAAATCTCAGTGGGAGATCACTGGGTCCCCGTCGATCCGTAACACAAAAAATGCCAGTCTACATTATAGCATGCTTTTCAAGGAAAAGGTAGAAGCATAGCATACTTACCAATAAATTGCCAATTAAAATAACCATCATATAAAAAGGAATGCACCAGGATGGTCTTGAAACTGCCATGCAGTCCCACAAGGTCTCTATCCACTCCCCACAGAGAACTCGGAACACATTCAAGTAGGAGTGAAAGAAGTCAGCCATGTGCCAGCGTGGAAGGTGGCAGTCTATGTCTATGAGGCAGACATAATTTGTATAGCTCCAACTAAACAACTTCATGCCAAATACAGCAAAAAAGAAGACAAACAGGAGCAGCAGAAGGACCAGGTCTTTCAAGGCTGTCAGGGATTTACTAAGATTCAGCATGAGAATTTCAAATGTTGGCCAATATTTCCCCAACTTGAAAATTCGCAACTAGTGGGAAAACAATATGGAAGACAAAAAAAATAAGAAAAATAACAATAAGGAAAATAAAATGGCTAGTTTTTTTTACCTTGTGCATGTTTAAAGTTTGTGTCAGCATGTTACACATATTCTTCATATATACTCTTGAAATATTATCAAGCATTATTAATACTAACCACTGCATATTTAGTCTATGCATATTGTTAATACATCTTACAAACGCAAGAATTTTGCAGATTGAATCTAGATGCATCATCTTGGTTTTATGTACTTGTCAGTGACTGTTCAATATTACAATTAGTACAGTTTTATGTTTAAATATCTAGTAGGAACAAGTGTTCTCTGTTTTTGCTTTTCACATTGCATTGGATATTATTTTTGGGGGTCTGGTCGTGGGGCCTGAACTCTGGGCCTGGGCACTGTCCCTCAGCTCTTCAGCTCAAGGCTAGCGCTCTAGCACTTGAGCCACAGCACTACTTCCGACTTTTTTCTTTTTGCTTACGTGGTGCTGAGTAATCGAACCCAGGGCCTCATGCATGCAAGGCAAGCACTCTACCATTGAGCCACCTTCCCAGCCCTGCATTGGATATGTTTTCACATATGTTCTGCAGAAGATATTGGGAAATGTTTGTCAGGATCCAGATTAGAAGAATATCACAGGGCCTACTATGCATTTCCATTTATTGAAGATCTAATACAACATTCTGTGCTTTGACAAGTATTACTATTATTTTATCACATTTTCAATTTATCTTTCAGTGTATCTTTGTTTGCTACATCACTGTCTACTTTGTTATCTAGCATCCATGTACCTCATACTCATGTCCTAATACATTGCTTGGGTGACAAGTATATGCTACCATGCTCTGCTAATTTATTGAGATGGAGTTTTTGCTAACTTTTTGCCTGAGCTGGCCTCAAAACTCCATCCTCCTGATGTCTACTTCCCATCTAGTTGGGACTGTAGGTGTGAGTCACCATCACAAACCCCCATAAACAGTTTTAATACATTCTGTACCTTCCCTAATTTTCTAGTTTTCTGAACTCAAGATTTTACTTTTACCCTGTAAAATTTCACCATGTTAGATTCAGTTTATTGCTAGTCTTTAAGATATTTTTACATTCCCTTTTAGAGGATTTTTTTCCATCCACTTCTTTTTTCACTTATAAATTTAGTGACCACGTCCTATATACATTTTGCTTCTTCAGTAAATAAGTTTATGAAGAATTCAGACATAGTTCTGAAGAAGATGCCATATAGGAAGAAGGTTTTGGATAAAAATCAAATCTGCTTAATTATTCTTGGTTCCTGTGACATTTTTCTACTCTGTTATCAGAAGGTAACAATAAATTACTTATCAAAGGTTGAAACTTTCTCCAAAGACTATCCTAATATCATTGTCTTTGCTTGATATTTTGATTCACATCACCTCCCTGGACTTGTGGACATAATACTTTTCAAAATAGTATTTTACTTCTCATATTTCTTTGTTTTAAAAATAAAACTTTCTCCCCTCTGTTTAGAATATTTACCTGATTTGAGTTTCTCAGTTGCCACTTCTGGTATCCTTCACTGTATTGCTTTTGAATCTCAGGCTGTCTGTCACCCTGGCTATGTTTCTCATAACTACACTTCCAATATCCAATGCATTTGACTTGATTTCCTTAAATTCTTTATCCAAATGACAACACAAAAATGTCTTACTCTTTCTTTAAGATCTTTATATATGAGTTACTTCATTTCATGGTGTCACTGCTCCAGTGGAAATATTTTATGTTCAAATTGTCATTTTAGCTCTGAGAAAACAGAGAGAGTAATTTTTCTAAAACAAAAGTTAAGTCATGGACTTACCGTCCTGAATGAGCGCAGAAGATCTGTTCCTTCAATGTTTGCTAGATAAAGTTCAGAGACACCAAGGAATACCACTATGCTATCAAAAATGTTCCATCCTGCTTGAAAATATTCATATGGATGCATGGCTATTATTTTAAAAATCATCTCTGCTGTAAAAATTCCAAGGAAAACCTAAATAAGAACAAAACAGGCAAGGATGATTCTGATGGCTACATCAAGATAACAGAAACTTAAACATGCCTTGCCATTTTCTTCATGCTTCCCCCTCAGGATCTGGTTAGTTTTGTGGCTGAATTACCATGACAGGTACATACATTTTGTCTAACAGTCTAGTATTAGATAATGTACATGGAACATTAGCCATTCTTGAAGCAAAACAAAAAAAAATACTTGAGAGCTAAAAAAAAAACCCATAGTATTTTAAGTAGATTCTTTTTTGTGATATGGAGCGTACATCAAAGTATTGATATCAATCAGACAAACAATAAAAACACATAGATGATGCAGAAAAATAAGCTCCATTAACACAGATGGTTAGAACAGATGGGTTAAGTGCTACTGTTGATAGGATAGCTCTGAGTTCAGGTTTCAGTACCGGTCATTCTACCTCTGCTCTACTTTTATCTACTGGGGCAGTGGTACCAAGACAGTATGGGTTTGGGAAAAAAGAAGCAATAAGTAATTTACACACAGCTGCATATGGTGGTTTACACCTACAATCACGGATAGTGGATGAGTAGAAATTAAAAGAGACCTAGTTTGAGGACAACCTGGAACATGAAGTTAGCTAGACCCTATCTCAATCAATAAATTTTACATGGCAAATATTCTTAGCCAATAATTTTTACCTCACTGCCAAGTAGCTGGCTCAGAATCCTGAATTTAAATGACAGAACTTTAATCTCTAGTTGTAAAACTATCAAGAATAACATCTACAAGGTGGGGGAGGGAGAGGAGTTGTGGTAGAGCATGAATACCTATTATCTAACAATAATTCCATAATGCATGTCTATGTATTTCAGTTATAAAATTCAATATTGAAGATAATAATGAACCAAGAAACCTTGAAAGCACAAATGGAAATAATGGAAATCTTACCATGTTTCCAATGCTGAGAAGATAGTAGGCGCTCGCGCTCATTGGAGAATGTTCCCAGGCCAAAAAACAAATGTTTAAAATGATACATACGATAAGGAAAAGATCACTGAAAGGAGACATTATTATCTTATGGAAAAAATCTCTCAATTTTAACCAACAAGGAGAGCAATTCCAGATCAAGAAACTTTTAGCAAATTTATGACAATACAATGGGCATCTCTTTTTGGATTTTTTATGGTCTGAAATAGAAGAATAAAAAAGTCAAATAGTAGAAAATTGTTTTATTTTTTGTTTTTAATCTTTTTATTATTTAAATTTTAATTTTATTGTCAAGGTGATATATATAGGAGTAACAGTTACATAAGTAAAGTAGTGAGTACATTTCTTGTTGACTTTGTACACCCTCCCTCATTTTTCTCCCATTTAAGAAAATTGTTTAATTTTAACTTTTTTCATTCAAAGGGAGGCTTGAGACTAGACCTCTGACTTGGAATTAGGAAACAGGAATAATCTTTACTACACAAAAACAGAATAGTAACTTCCTTCCCTCTCTCTCTCCCTCCTTCCCTTCCTCCCTCCCTCCTTCCTTCCCTTCCTTTCTCCCTCCCTCCCTCTCTCCCTCCCTCCCTCCCTCCCTTCCTTCCTTCCTTCCTTCCCTCCTTCCTTCCTTCCTTCCTTCCTTCATTTCCTTCCCTCCTTCCTTCCTTTCCTCCCTTTTTGTGCCAGTCCTGGAGCTTGAACTCAGGGCCTGAGCACTGTCCTGGAACATTTTATTCACCGACTTTTCTGCCCAGTCTGACTCTGAATCACAGTATTAGGATCTCAACCTCCTGAGTAGCTAGGATTGTAGGCATGAGCCACCAGCACTCAAGTATTTTATTTTTCGTTTACTGATTTAGACAAATGAGATGAACTAAATATTTGTGGGCTACACAGTTCAAATGCAAGCATTTACAAATTATCTGGTATCTTTCAATAAATCTCTACATAGACAGACACAGTTCACCCTAATTTATTCAAGGGTAGACTGCATAATCCAGTTTCCATTTTTAGTCACAATTTAATATTCTAATTTTATTAATGTTAAATAAAATTCTTTTATGTTTTAACATAATGTTCTTGTTATTATTAAGGTGTTGTACCATTTCATAAATCAGGAAATGAATACAGTTCTTTTTGCACATGTAACCCCTTATTTTCTCCCAGTTTCTCTCTCCTGTATCTGCCCACAAGTTGCATAGTTCATCTTCCAAGCTACATATACTGAATACTGTGACTGCATTTGTTTACCCTCCCTCCCTCCATGTTTATGCTCCCCCTTTTTGCCTGCCCTAAAAAAAAAAATCCCTCAAAAGCAAATACCACCACCACCACTACCAACAACAACTATAACAACAAAACCCTGTGTTTCCATATTTTGGAATTTATTTTGCTAAATAGTATTTCAGAGGAGTTAAGCTTTTGGGTTCCTCCCTGTGAGTATCCTCCTTTTGTTGGATGATGTGAATGTCTGGAGTCTTGTTCCTTTACATTTTTGATGACATTCTCAACCCTTACGATACTTTGCTTTTGAAATTTTTATGAAATATTCATCCTATTATTTTCATATTATTTCTTAAATTTAATATAAGAAAGAAAAATAAAAACTGCAGAGCTTCAATACGAGTGTTAAAGGATAGTATCTCCCACAGAAGGTGTCCGGGTATTTTTTTTTAATGTTACCTTTTGTATGTCTGAGAGTAGCATCTTCCAAAATATCCACTGATGTGTTTTCAGAAGTTGCAAATTTTTTCTTCATTTCTATTTGTATAGCTTTGGTCTGAAAGGAAATTGAATGAATTTACTATTGATTTCTCTCCTGTTTGGGATCAAGACTATAATTTTAAAGTAGTATATAATATACCTTAAAAAACCCTAATTCTAACCTCAGAAAGCTTTCCTGGGTTTCATCATTTGCCACTTTCTATACTAAGGATTAAACTGATTTAGGATTATTTGGAAAACAAATGCTGTAACATATAACTTACATCCAATCAAACTTTATACTGTAAGCTCAAGTATAAAAAGAGTAAATCTTAGTAAATATGGTGTTTTTCATTTTGAGAAATCATTCAATATACAATAGAGGTAATCGATTACTGTGAAATGTCCAATTGGAGAACATGATTCTGAATAATCAGAATATTTCCTTATCATCTTAAATGCTTTCCTTAAGAATATATCACTTCATAACTTAGTAAATTCTCTTGCTAAAATAAGATGATTTGGACTTATGATGATGAAATACATAAGGAAAATATCAGGTAATGCAATGAGTTCAAAGGGCTTGCCTTGGATAGAACAATTATGATAGCAAATGAGCAGGAGAATCAAGCTTCTATAAAAGGATTCTTGTATGTTTGCTTATTCATTGGATTTCTTAAGCTCTGCTCTGCTCATCTTGTCAATGCGATTAGATAAAAATTATTGTATTAAAAATTCCTAGCTTCTGATGCAGATATTTCAAGTTCTATACACTTACAGAGATCATAAGAACAGACTGATATTCCTAGTGCTTGTGTGTAAAATTATATTCATATTTAAAGTCTAAGAACATAACAGCGGATGGATGACACTCCCAAAACAGTGATTATCATAAGTTTAACACTGAGCCTGCCCAAACTATGACAATTACATGTTTGTGAATTTAGGGTGACTAGCCTACCCTAGTCCCTTTAATGGTGTTGACTAGCCTGGGAGATAATGCTATCCCGAGAATATTATTTTTTTATTTTTATTTTTTTGGGGGGGTCCAGTCGTGGGGCCTGAACTCTGGGCCTGCGCACTGTCCCTCAGCTCTTCAGCTCAAGGCTAGCGCTCTACCACTTGAGCCACGGAGCCACTTCCGGCTTTTTTTTTTCTTTTTTGCTTATGTGGTGCTGAGGAATCGAACCCAGGGCCTCAGGCATGCAAGGCAAGCGCTCTACCACTGCGCCGCCATCCCAGCCCCACCCTGAGAATATTCTTAACTGAGCCTCAGTAAATCATGCCGGGCACACTTGTGTTGACAAAGTCTGTCATCATATATCTGGAGTAGCAAAGCGGATACCAGGAAATCACTATGTTCATTTCACTTAGCACTCTGGTTCCATTAATACTAGAGCTACAGGAGTTTAAACCAGCTAATGGCAATCTGAGCATCACCAAGAAAACACATAATAAAATCTGCAAGTGTAAGTACAGAGCTTTACTTACAAAATGCAATCTAGAAGCTGGGAAGGTGTATTCTACCACTTGCCTTGCATGCATGAGGCCCTGGGTTCAATTCCTCGGCACCACATAAGCAGAAAAAACTGGAATTGGTGCTGTGGCTCAAGTGGTAGAGTGCTATCCTTGAGCTGAGGAGCTCAGGAACAGCGCCCAGGCCCAGAGTTCAGGCCCCACAACCGACCAAAAAAGAAAATGTACTCTAACCATTTTGGACGGAAGGTTAATTTCTTTACTTAAACTGTGCTTATTATAGAACATATTTTTAGGTGGATTCCAAGGTTACAAAAAATGGGAGTATTAATTTGTCTAGTTCCAAATTTCCATGAGATAAAAACCAACAGACGGAAATACGTTTCTGTTACATGGATCTTGCTGGAACCAGTCAGGTGTGTATCTTCACAAAGATGATAGCTTTTTGAATGCATAATATCTCAACTAATGCCTTATTATGAAGGAATTCTATCTTAATTATATTTTTCAGATAGTAACAATATTTATTGTTACTGTACAGAGCAACTCTGTAAAGACAATTGCATGTGGGAGTGGAGAAATAGAAGGTTACTCAAAAAACCAGCTTCATAAATATATGTTTTGATGAATTTCAGTGCTTTATTCAGTTTCTTAATATACTGTGAGCACCGTAAAGTATTGTATATGTTTTTCACTTAGACTTTACAACAGTCAGTTGGACAGGTACTGTAATTATATATATATATATATATATTTAATATATAATATATAACTCTCTAATATGGCAAGGTCCTTAATCAGATCAATTAACCAGAGTCCTAACATAGTCTATCTTAACCCCTTCTCTTCTAGTGTTTAATTGGGTGTAAATTAAACAAAGGGAAATAAACCTTTTATGAAATGGCTTTTACTCTAACTTCTCAGAAATCTCTGCATAACAAAATGTTCCAGGATTCTTCCGGGAAAAGAACTTCACAATTGAAAGATTTTAATTAAAACTAAGAAGGCGAAATGAAAGGAAATATTGGGAAATACCCAAGTTCTTTCATAATTAGAGCTAATAGAGCATTTCTTCTTGGGATAAGAGAAGTATTGTTATGCTCTTGGATACATTCATGTGCATCTGGCTCTTGAGATTCCAAAGTGCTCTTTCAAAATATATTTCATGTTCAACATACCATTCAGACTCTTGTCATTCAATCTGAAGGACTTTGGACTTATTTAGAGAGACAGAAAGCTTCTGTAATGTGTTTTCTTGTGACTGACTCATTAACAATAAAAGCCTCTTTTCATACATATTTTTCATTATACTTATAATTGTTTCTTGTTCAATTGTATGCATATTATGGACACACATGTATCAAGTCATTGCATATGATTCTACATTCTGTTATTTAGGCTTCACTTTTGGCACAACAGAGCTTCTTCACTGATGATGACCTAGTATGATGGCCAAATATATAGTAAAAAGTTAGCCTTTTGCTGCTTCTTGACTCAGAAGAGACCTATGCTATTTGTAAAGCTCTCAGCCACTCTTTCTACACATTCAACTTAGAGTCACTGAGTATTGGCCCTTTAGTGACCCTGATAGTTTATTCTACTCATATATGCACAGGTTTCCAGGTGTCACTTCTCTATCTTTGACTTCTGTCTCATTTTAGATCTATTTTTCCATCTACAAAAAAAAAAGTTCAAGGAAGAGGTATGGTATTGCCTGTAAATTATAAGAAATTTTCTTCTGATTGCTTTTTTTAGTCTTTTATTTCCTTTTGGCACACTAATGGAAAAAATGTTGAAATTGTTTTTGAAAATTATTTTCTAAAGTTCTTTAATGTTACTTATGTTAAATGTACAGTTTCAGGTTCATAGACTGTAATTTTATATGAGGCTAATGATCTGGAAAAAATCAAATACAACATTAAAGTAAACATGGCTAATTTTTACTAGTCATGGATATAGTTATTCAAAAAATGAACATTCTCCACATCACAATGTACTATGTGTTTCTTTTGAAGAAACCCAGAAAGTTGTGCAGGATACTATCATTTAAGAGTTGAATGTATTTTCCAAAGTTGATTCAGATGTATAATCTTACACCAGATCCGTTTGGTGGTACTGGGGTTTGAACTCAGGGCCTCAGCCTTGGTAAACAGGAGCTCTACCAGTTATGCTACATTTTTATTTTTTTTTATTTAAAAAAAAATTTCTTTTGGTCGTGGGACTTGAACTCTGGGCCTGAGCGCTGTCCCTCAGCTCTTTAGCTCAAGGTTAGCGCTCTAACACCTGAGCTACAGCTCAGCATATATAATTTTCAATTATATGTGTGTTAAGTGAAATCAAGTTCTAAAAACATAATATATTAAGATTTGTCAACATTAATTATGCAATTTTTGGAACATAAATTTTATGTATTGAATATTTCAGCACATTGCTGATTCTTACCATAATGTAGTATGGGAGGAAATATTATATATCCTAAGTGAGTCCTATTATTATTATTATTATTATTTTACTGGTACTGGGGCTTGAAATCAGAGCCTGGGCACTCTCCTTTAGCTTTGTTTGCTCAAAGTTAACATTCTACCAGTTGAACCACAGTTTTACTTTTGCCTATTTGGTGGTTAATTGAAGATAAGGGTCTCATGGACTTTCCTGCCTGGGCTGGCTTTCGATGGAGAGCTCAGATCTCAGCCTTCTGAATAGCCAGAATTATAACACTGAGTCAATATTGCCCAGCAAGGCTTATTATTAAAAATCACCTTTCATCTCATCATATACTATACACAGATAGAGTAATCGATTGAAGGCAACACACTACATGACTGATAAAATTCATCTAGTACTGTGGATCTAAAAAGAATACAAATGTTATACCTCAGATGCATCGTTTTCTTCTTGTAGTTCAATAGTCTGTTGAAATGTTAGTTGAGTTATTTTAACTTTCTCAGCCTCTGTCTGCTTTTCTTTTTCATAGATCATGATAAGTATTCCCAAGAATAAACTTGCCATATAAAAGGCAAACCAAAAACTGACCACAACAAAAAACATCATGTAGACTTTCCCAGAAGCATAAAGGATCTAAGGAGAAATGGAACACAGAAAAATAAAAGGAAATGTTACTTAGTCTATATTCTCCTACTTAAAAATAAAGAATGGAATTCTGTTAGGAAAATAATTTGTTCATGAGTGTAATCTAATTACAAGATTGCCTAAATGCTGGATGCAGGAATAAAATGAAAACTAGGTTAACTTTAGACATACACTTATGCATAAAATACATGCTACAAAACCAAGGGATAAAAGTGGTAATTGATGAATTCGTTGTGAACATTTGACTTCTATGTTTTCATTAACAGAGAAAATACACCGACTGAGAAGTTAAACCGTTTGAATATGGAAAACCATTTTCTATTTTGGAGAGGTTTTTTTTAATGGTCTAGTTTTTTTTTGTTTTTTGTTTTTATTGTAAAGTACCGTATACAGGGTTACAATTACATGAGCAAGGTAATGAGTACATTTCTTATCAAGCATTGTTGCCTCCTCCTTTGTTTTCTCTTACCACTCTTCCCATCTCCCCCCCTCCCCTGCCCGCTCTGTCACCACTCTGTCCCCACTCCCCGGCCAGAGTTTTAAAGTTTGTTTTTAGACATAAGTCTTGTACGTCTCCTTGTTGCAATGGGTCCATCTGTATCCTTATTTAAACAATTTTTTCCCTTTCCCTCTCCAAATTATACCATCAAATACAGTGAAAACAAGGGTTATACCGTGGGGGAGAGACATACAAAGTAACAAAGAGATCATCTTATAAATATGTTAGAAACAATAGCAAGAAAGAAAAACCATTTGAGTCCTTATCTTGGGGTTCATTTTGCCTAACACCAACTTAACTGACTGTTTCTGCTTGTCTCAGACATACACTAGTTATTGCAAATAAGGGAAACCATGGGACCTATGTTTCTCTGGGCCTGGCTTACTTCACTTAACATAATTTTTTTCCAAGTCTTTCCATTTCCTAACAAATGGGCCAATGTCATTCTTTCTGGTGGAGGCATAGAATTGCATTGTGTATATATACCATATTTTCTTGATCCATTCATCTACTGAGGGGCATCTGGATTGGTTCCATATCTTAGCCATGGTATATAATGCTGCAATAAACGTAGTTGTGCTGGTGGCTTTAGTGTGGTCTTGTTTGTGGTTATTCAGGTAAATGCCCAAAAGTGGGATTGCTGGGTCATAGGGGAACTCTATGTGGAGTCTTTTGAGGAACCTCCATACTACTTTCCAAAGTGGTTGAACAAGTTTATACTCCCACCAACAATGGAGTAAGGTTCCCTTCTGTCCACCTCCCCTCCAGCATCTGTTGTTATTAGAGTTCTTGATTATAGCCATTCTAACTGGGGTGAGGCGGTATCTCAATGTTATTTTGATGTGCATTTCTCTTATAGCTAGAGAGGTTGAGCATTTCTTCATGTGTCTATTGGCCATCCAGAGAAACTTCTCTAAAGAGGAAAAAAGGATTTTGGAGAGTTGTTACTGTTGAAACATTATTCAAGTCAAGGGATATGGTAGATGTTGTTCCTCTGATCATGAATTTATAGAAAAATCACTACTTCAAAATCAGGACTACATAATAATGGAAGCAAGACTATTTCAAAGCCTGCCAGAGTATCTCCTGCTTTGACTTAAGCTCTTTGGAGAAATTAAGTGAAAAATTAATCAGAGTAGTATGGTTTATATGAAATCATCAAGGCAAGGATTATTGATGGAGAGAAAACTCTAAAAGTCATAAAAATCATATGCTTTTTTTTGGTTGGTCGTGGGGCTTGAACTCTGGGCCTGGGCAAATCATATGCTTTTGAAATGAGCTTATCATAAATGACTAGTTTTAATTTCCTAATAATGCCCTAAGAAGAATCAAAATATTAAAAATGTAGGCAATTATTAAATAGAAACAACACAGATACAAAATATTATGCCCTGATTTATGATTATTGACTAAAATTAGGTTCCTAAAATTTAAAGAAAACATGGAAATAGTTTTAATTTTGAAACATCTTTTTGAAACAACAGGAAAGTATTATTTACACAAATGTGGGTAGATAAAATTAAGAATGCATATAGAGTAATAAGAAGTTTGAACATTCAGTCAGAAATCAATATTATTAACTTAGAACATACTTACCATTAGCAGCATTTTCAATATTGCCTAGTATCCCAGAAAAGCAGCTATTTAGGTTTTGAGCTAGCTGTTATTTACACAAATCATTCACCGATCAGGATTATGTGTTATAGTGTACACTGTGAACATACTCATTAATAAATACCCACAGTTATTACTTCATCCTCATATAGGGAAAATAATTCCTAAGACTTTACAGTAATGAGGAATGCTTTATCCACTATGCAATGCCAGTGTAGATTAAAATTGCTTTATTTTTGTTTTTGTTTTTAAATATATTTTTGTTTGTTTGAGACAAAACTTCATTAGGAGTTCAGGCTGGCTTTGACTTTGCAAACTGCCTGCCTGAACTTCTTCTGGGGTTACATGAAGCATCAGTTATACTATTAGAAGTATTAACTGTATTATTTTTTAAAAAGTCTGAGCTGTGTGTCATTAACTCACACCTGCAATTCTAGCTACTCATGAGATTGCAATGTGAGGATCAAAGTCTATGCGACTTTTATCTCCAGATAACTACCAAAAAACCCAGAAGTGTTGTGGCTCAAGTGATAGAGCACTAACCTTGAACAAGAAAAAAAGCTGAAGGATAGCATCTAGGCCCTGAATTCAAGTCCTAGGACTAGAACTCACACACACACACACACACACACACACACACACACACACACACACACACACACACCAAAAACAAACATAAAAAAATAAGTTTGTTCTATGAGGATTAACAAATGTTTTCTACCCATGGTGTATCAAGAATACTTGGAGCCAATAAATATTAGTGAATGATTTGAAGATAAATTTCTTCAAAACATAAGGAAAATCTCAAGGAGAACACTTAACCTAGAAACATGACAGAAGAATACTTGAATTTAGGCAGAGGACACCAACATTGAAATAAGAATTTAAGAGAAAAGTTCCTTTAGGAAACAGCAAGCCATTAATATACTCATGGGAAGCAGAGTATATAATCTAGAAAACAGTAAGAAAAACATCAAGGCTTCTAAAACACATCTTAGAGGGTATCAAACTTCTTCTCATAAAAATACTAGAAACCAATAAACTATTTTTACAAGTGAATGAGATTATTTTAGTAATAAGCACAGATTCTCTGTGTTCTTACCTGGTGATAAAGTGCTTCAGGATAATCCTGGGTCATTAATCGAAATAGTGCAAAGAAAGCCCAACCAAAATTATCAAAATTTGTGTAGCCACGATCAGGATTTATGCCTTCTTTCACACACACATATCCTTCAGGGCACTGACTAAAAAAGACAAAGGAAAAAAATACAGCCTGCTTACTGTTAAATGATTTTCAGATTATGGCCAAATCATCACATATGTTTATGAAAAATAAGGGAAAGCTCTAACCCAGCAACTGAGTTAGATTTTTAGGTTGTACACATGAATAGCATCCATTAAGGCAAAATAGAAGCATTTGAAATGATTTTTGCAACTTTTTTTGAGGGGGATGTTGACTTATTTACTTTAGTGGATATGAATCATATATATTTATCATCTACATTATAGTGGTCTGAAAAAAAGAAATATCTATTAGAAATGGATAAATTAAGGTGATTAAGATATGAATACCTCATATACCTTTCTTTTTATGGTGAAAACACTTAAAATCTACCACCGTATCACTTTAAAAACACATGATATAATACATTGTTATTAATTATAGTTTGGCTGTTCAAAAATAAAACTGAAAAGGTTAACATGTTTCTCAATGGTAGAATGCTTACCAAGTGTGAGTGAGGGATTGGGTTTGATTCCAGTGATGGGACACAAAAGAAAGAAAGAATCTAAAAATGATGGGAAATGCCAAAAAGAAAGAAATGGGAAATATCTGAAAACTGTATTGATAAAAATAAAATTCTAAAAGTTGAGGATTTAATTTTCAAATAATCTCACTTCAAACTCTTAGATCTCATACTTTAAGGGACAGAAAACATCACTTCAATAATTTATAAGTAGTGTTTGCACTTGAGGAGAAAGATCAAATTAAATATTTATTTCTTTTCCTTTAATGGAGTTTTAATACTTTTATCAATGGAGGGGTTTGAGTGATGTGGTAGATTATTACATTAGTGGCCCAATAAATTATACTTCCCCCGTCCCAGCCTTTGTGAAGAGTCTTCCACATTATTTTGAGTTTGGTCATGTCAATCATGTATTTTAGACAATGGTTAATGGAAAATGCATAGATTTAAAAAGCACTTGTGTACTGAATTTTTAAAGTGCTGACCTGCAAAATCTGATCAACTACACTTTTTTGTTACATTAAGGCAATAACTTTGGGAATAATTTTCCACACTACAAAAATAACTACTTGGTAACCACTGAATGATGTTTTCTTCTTGTCTAGGAAAGAATCACTGTCTACTGAGTACTCAGAGACCAGATACCTTTGAAATGCTTTTCAGGACATATTTGAGTTGAAGATTTGCATAAAAAAATAGTTGAAAAGAGGATACTATAACTCATGAGTTGGACTTGAGCCTAACAGTAACTGGGTAAAAATGACTTGGCTTTGAGAAATGAATTTCTCTTCTTTAGAAGCCATGCATTCTCTGCAATTTTATTGTTTCTCTAAGAAAAATTAAAATACTTCACATATTAAAATATGTTTGTTGATTAGATGAGATAATGCAATCAACTGAGACCAATGGTCAAGGTAGTAAATATTCAGTCAGTACTACAATATCGGATGGATGATATTGACTTGATAGGGGATAACAACACCACCACTTACCCAGCATCTGTTCTGTTGCCACAAAGGAGAGCATACTTGTCTCCTTCCATATAGTAAAAGTGCTCAGTTTCTGAAAAACAGGAAAGAAATTATGTTCCTCACTTAATCTCAAATTAGCAACATCAAGTGGATTTGAATCTCCACAGATGATTAACCAATATTGTATTGAGGAACATTTCATGGATTCCTAGCTTCTTAGAGCTTTTATCATAAAGGGCTATTAGATTATGTCAAAAGCTTTTCTGCATCTATTGAGAGATCATGTGGTTCTTGTGTTGTTCCCATTGATTTACGTATATTGAACTAGCTTTACATCCCTAGGATGAATTTTGTTTGATCATAATACATGATTTTGTTTTAGTTAGTGGTTGAATTCAATTGGCTACAATTGTATTAAGAAGTTTTGAGTCGATGATGCACTGATGACAAAGTGTTGGATCTATAGTACTCTTTTTGTGATTTATCCCTATCTGGTTTGGGGATGAGTGCAAAGCTGGCTTCATAGAATGAGTTTGGGAGTGATTTTTCCTTTCTATTTCATTGAAGGGTTTAAAGAGAAGGCCTTATAGAATTAGGCTTTAAATCCATCTGGTCCTGGGATTTTCTTCAATGGGAGACATTTTATTGCCATCACAATTTCCTTATTTGTTACGGGTCTATATAATTGGTTTAACTCTTCTTGGTTCAGTTTGGGTTCAGTTCAATGTTCTCTGTTAATGTATCCATTTCTGCAGATTCTCCAGGTTTTTCACCTAAAGGTTTGCAAAGTATTCCCTTATGATATTCTGAATTTTGTTTGTTTCTGTTGTGATACTCCATGTTTTTACTCTAATTTTATTTACTTGAGTGAGTTCTCTTTTTTTAAAAGACTAAGTCAAAGCCCATCAAATTAAGAACCAGGGAATGGGTACTTGCAAGGGAGGAAGGGAAGAATGTAGGCAACAATTCTTTGTATGTGCCACAGAACTGAGAAATACAAGAGAAGGTATGGATTGAAGTGGGGGGTGAAAATATTCAAGTAGTGACACAGATCAAGATGTATTGTATGCAAAAAAATTCAACATATAACCTACAATTAAGATAAGTAAAGGAAGGGATGTGTTGTGAGGGGTTGGTGGAAATGTTAAAAGGAGTAACATTGATCAAGATGAACTGTATTCATAAACTGCTTTAGTGAATGGCAACTCCTTTGTTCAACTACTTAAATATAATTTAAATGTTTAAGAAAGCACACAAACCTCACTTTCTAGAGCTAAAAAGAAAGAAATCAATGACTTGGCTTTTTTGCCTACTATATGATGTATATGCCTTTGGAAATCCAGAGAAAAGCCTTTGGGAATCACTACCTTCTAACTGACAATGCTCAGCAGAAGGAGAAAATCCCTTTCAAAATTAATGTTCAGGGAAATGAATAAAATGCCAAGGGATGACAAGACTTCTCAAATTTAAAAAAATGTTAGATAACAAAGGGTGAAGCAATGAAAGAGTGGTACTCATTAGACACTATGTTGTAAGTGAACTTTACAATTAGGGAGGTGAAATCGACAGAAAATGAGGGATGGGGTAACACTGTTCAAACTTACCTTATGTGACTAACCTCTCTGTACATCACCTTTACAATAAAATTGTTAATGAAAAATTTCAAATAATATCTACATTGTTTGAAAGTAGGGATACTCTTTTGAATACATATTCCAGATGACATACTTGAAGAAGAAGGTTACATTTTCTGTGTCTCTGGGTTTAATTTAGATTCTTTTCCTAAAGCAAAGGTGATTCTTCTTCATTGGTCATCCAATGATAATTATTTGTTCTGATGTCACCTAATTCCAACCATGACTTTTGCTAACATTGTCATAATTCACAAAATCTCTCCAAATAACTTAAAATGATGCCAATGAAAATGTAAATGAAGCATAAATTTTGTATTTGCAAGTATCAGGTACTATGGTTACAGACATGTCGCTTAACAAGCATAGATTTATGCAGTTGACTATGAAACTGCATGTCCATTTTGGTGAAAACTGCTCAGAGGTTTCTATTTTCAACTCACCTGGAAAGTGATCCTTACCTCGAATATAATAGGGGTTTCCTGTTCTGTTATGCTGAGTTTCATTTTCTTGGGGCCAATGCACACATTTGTGCTTTAAGTTACCCATGAAGAGTCCCATCCCAAAGAGAGAAAATATACTTAGAAAAAGCAGAGTTAGGCTAATGGCACCAATAAGTTTCTTCAAGCCATGAATCAAGGTTCCTACAAGAGAGTTTAAACCTGGAAAGATAAAAGCATGTTTTGGATAAAATAGAAATTTCAGTAAAGCCAAACTTGTGGCAAACCACTCCCATGACAAATGCATTTCATCAATATCAGCAGATCTATGTCACATAAAGTCAAACCTCTATCTAGGTCAAACAAATATGTGAATAGAAGTCAAACTTTGAAGTTTCTGTATGATTTCTAATTTATAATGTCCAAGTGAAATAGTTAAGATAGTTAAAACATGTTGTTTTTTTCTCTTTGACTCTTCAAAGCAATCTATTGTTTCCTGGTACTACTTATACTAACCATTAGTGTTGATAAACAAAAGCAAACAAAACAAGTTATAAAGCCAGATGGTTGAAAAGTTCAACAAGACATCTTGAAGTTGCAGTATCCTACACTATTCTTTATAAGAATTTGATGCCTAGAGATCATTAAGTAAACATTGTGACAAAAATGTTAATGATTCAGAATAAGAATAATACAACTGAACTGTAGGCAAACTATACCAGAGTTCTTACTAAAAATCCAAGTATATAAACCGGATATAATTGTCAAATAATAGGCTAAATTCTGAAAACAGACAATAAACAAAAAAGTAAAAACATAAAGTAATTGTGTATCTTAGATGAAACTATTATTAATATTTCATTGCATAAATTTCTTTCTCACATCCTTTCTTTTCTTCCTTTTTTCTTTATCTTCCCTCTTGTCCTTCCTCCCTCCCTCCCTTCCTCCCTTCCTTCCTTCCTTCCTTTCTTCCTTCCTTCCTTTCCTTCTTTCGTCCCTTTTTGTCTTCCTTCCTTCCTACATTTTCATCTTTCCTTCTTCTATTTCCCTTGCTCTCCTATTTTGTCGTCTGTGAATATTTAAGGCATTAAATGTAGCAATGTATGAGAAAATATAGCTGCTTTCTGATATTGAGCAATTTGTCAATATATTTACACCTGTTTATATATTTATAACAAAAATAAACCTCTTTCATCTATTGTTAGAATTGCATCTTTTCTTTTACTTTTATTTACTTTTTGCAGTACTATGTTTTGAACTCAGAGCTTCATGATTTCTTTTTTCTTTTTTTGTACATTTTTTATTTTGAAAATGCTGTACAGAAGGGTTACAGTTACATGAGCAAGGTAATGAGTACATTTCCTATCAAGCATTGTTGCCTCCTCCTTTGTTTTGAACTTCATGATTTCTTGAGCCACAACTTCTCTAGGCTTCCTTTACACCATGTATTTTTTTTTCTTTTTTCTCATTTCATATTCATTAGGGTATTGAAATTAACATCAAATTTTCATCTTAAAAGTATGGTATTTGCCTATTTTATTGTTTTCTTTTGCTCTTCTGCTTGAAAGAGTCTGAGTTTTCTTTCATTGAGACTGTAAAACAATTTCTTTTCCTTGTTCTTTTCCTATGCACATCTTCTAATAAGAGTAATAATGACATTCTTAAAATAATATGTTTCTCTATGTTATTTACAAAGTATTTTTATATTATAGTCCCAATTTCTAGCATATACTTGTTTATTCTCCTTTGAACAAAAAAGCAAGTGGTGTTTATCAGCCTGTTTGGTCTCACTCTAGGTGTATCTCCTTATATTAACTTCACTGGATTTCATTTATAGTCTTTACATCTGGTCCTAAAACAACGTTGTATGTGTTTCAAGAGCAAGTTTATGCTCTCAGATTTTCAGGGCATGGAAAGGAGTTACAGCAGGAGCTACTTTTCCCCAAGTTACTGATAATTCACTGGATTTGATCAATCTCCCAAACTGCAGAGCATTACTGCTAAACACATTTGTTGAGATGTTAATTCAAAATCCTAAAATTAATCTGCTCAATGCATCTAATACAGTGTTTAAAGATATTAATATGCTCTGAATCCATTTCTACATTCTCAATCTGTTTTTCCCAGCCTGAATTCCAGCTACATACTTGGTATCTCTACTTTTCTCTGTCATTTTCCATGCTGAGAAACTTGCTTAAGGGCCTTGTTTTGGTGTCAGTACATTCATTGTTTTGTGCAGTCATTTCAAATTACTTCTAAATTACAACAGCCTAAAGACTCTCAATAAAGTTGTTTTCCTGATTTTCATTTCCAGTACTGGGGATTGGAACTCAGGATCTTGTACTTGCTAGGTAGGTGTCTATCACTTGGATCACATCCCTAGCCTTTATCTGATTGTTTTTAATGTTTGGGAACAATAAAATAGATATTAGATGTTGGTATGTATGAGCCAGGAAAGAATGTTGTACCAAGTGCTCCACAACTTTTGTTACTATGAATACAGCTTTCTGCTTCATTTGTGAAACATCTGATCTTTGTAGCATTGCGTCTGACCCAAGCACTGAACACAAGGACATTTGCTTTATTATATTGTTCATTTCACTATATTGCTTGATACAATGAGGAAAGCAATGAAAAAAAATAGATTCCTCCATACTATTTCTCTAAAATTCCAAAGGAACATTTTATAATTTCATATTTAATATGTAAAATAAATCATTAACAACAAAAGCATAACTGAATAATTTATATTTTGGATAGCGAAACTATTGAATCCACACAACATAAATAACCATCAATGACTTTTTCTTGCCATTCCTACCTTGACATTAAAAGAATCAAATGATTCATAGGTTCAAAGTAGAAACATTCTATAATTTTACATTTTCTCTGAGAAACAAGAGAGTTCAAATGAGAAGAGTACATGAAACCATCTAAAATAATGAGGAAAAGAAATCTAATGCCACTTCTTACCTTGGTTTAAAGGAATAACTTTCAAAATTCTCAAACTTCTTATAGTTTTAAACAATGGAGTGTGGTTTGGAAATGAATACCTGGTCATAAGTCTGCAGAAGTAAATTTGAGTTATTTAGAAGTCATATTGAAACTATGCTACTAATCTTTGGCTTTCAGGACTCTTAAAAGTTTTTTTAAATTATATATCTAAATATTTTCCTTGACAGAACTGGCTACTAATCAGTTAGTTAATAATCTACAATGTGAATACATAAATGTACAATACTCAATACTCTAAATTCATTACCAAATATGGTATCTTATGTTCATAACATTTTGTTGTTTATGAAAACAATAAAATATTATTGAAAATATGGTTAATATTTTAAAGGAGAACAGTACCTGAGTTTTATTAAGAATGAAGTTCATCTAACATATTTTCTCTTTAATTAGTGATGGTAATGCCAGTACTCTGTGCCTATGGTGCCTAAGTCAAAATGTAAGATCCATACATACTAGATATGTGACAAAGGACATTTGCCTACTCTTTCTTTCTACAATTGCCTCAATTGCCTCTGTAAAACAGAGACATTACTTCTCAACTCTGAGGCTTTTACTGTGAAGGTCTTAGAGTAAGCATAGAGAGGCACAATAAATGCTAGTGTTAGTTAAATTACCTTAAGTGTTAACTGGAGGACCCATGAACAGAACTAATAGTAGTAATCGTAGAAACAGTAACAATAATTACAATGGCATTAGCCTTTTTTTTCCTTTTAATTGGTTGTGGGGCTTTAATTCTGGCCCTGTGCACTATCCCTCAGCTCTTCAGCTCAAGGCTAGCGCTCTACCACTTGAGCCACAATGCCACTTCCGGTTTTCTGGTGGTTTATTGGAGATAAGAGTCTCACAAACTTTCCTGCGTGGGCTGGCTTTGAACTGCCATCCTCAGATCTCAGCCTCCTGAGTAGCTAGGATTACAGGCATGAGCCACTGGCACCCAACGCATTAGCTATTTTTAAGTAGTCATACTATGGCAGTCATTGCCTATACTGTTTTAAAAGAGTATATTTTTTAAATAATATAAAAATATACAGAGTATCTTTTAAAATTATTTTAACAGGAATTTTATATCACTAGTCATTTCCACATATAAAACAGAATACAAAAGGGAAGCACTGAAATAGTAAGCATGAAGTAATTGTTTCATGTGACAGTACGTAGAATGTGTTTTTAAAATACCTTGACTGGATACTTATATCATCGTAAGAGTATAGCTTAATGAAAGGTTTATTAAGAACTGGGAGCAAAATATAAAGGATCCACAGCTAAAGATTCAGGGAATTTTTCACTTAAAAAAAGAACTTCAAGACAAAAAATGGAATATATTCCTTTCATTTTCATCTCATATTTTAAAGTTTATAAACAGTTTCCTGAGATTCTATATGAATATCACTTATGAAATAATTTTTAATCTTTGAAGTTTTACAAGCAGAAATCTTTGTAGATATTTTTAACAAAAGAGTAAGATGTTGCAACTTGAGGAAATACCCACTCAAATGAAGTTACACTGAAATCCAGCCAGTTCCATAGATCTCCAAGGAAAGAAAAAGGTCCTGCCCAAACACCCCTGGCAATGATTTTTATAAGTATTTCAAATGTGTAAATTCCAAGCAAAGAATTCCTGCAGAACAAAACATAATTTCAGATAAACATTAAAAGTAAGAACAATATATTGTCAACACTAAAATACTATGTGTTAGTAATTATTTGGTATTTGAAAATAAGTCATTAAAAGGAATTTAAAAATGTCTGTTTGGTAGGCCAAAGTAATAAATCATCAACATATCAGGCAATGATAAAAATACAAGGGCCAAGGAATCTGAGCTTAGAGCTTTAGACAGGACTTCCAGCATGACTAAGTCTTGTGGCACCAGCCATAAAATTTCACTAACAAATGCTATCAAAATGTCCTCACTCTGAAGTGAGATCCTTTCAGTATTATTTGCTTAAGTAAGTAAGAATATCAAGTGTCCATTTTGCTCCACATGGGGATTACACAATAATTGATAAAGGGGAAATGCAAGGTCTAACTTTATGGATACACAAAGAATTTTTGGTGACTCAGTATCGGAGTAGCCTCTCAAAGTCAACTAATTTTAAGAATCATTAAAGCTCAGGAGTTAGCTTCAAGAAAGCCTTCTTTTCTAGAAAACTCAATGGGCCTTTCCATTGCTGTAGTTTAATGAAAGTCTTAGGAAAGAGAAGAAAAGGAGACTAGAACTCTAAAGGTTACTTAATTGATATGATTTTAATGAATAAGACTGATTTGAGTTAGAAGAATTCAGGTATGTGATCGCAAAGACTGAGAGTTGAGAGACTAAGGTGTTAAATGAATCAGCAACTAGGTTTGAAATAAAACCCCACTGGAAGATTACTTTGACCTCCTCAGTTAGCTGAAGACTCTCATGTTAGTTGACTCTATGAAGAGCTAGAAGTATTTGAATTGTGACTAGGGTTTAAGAGCACATCCCTATGAACCCAGAACTTAGAGGACTGAGGCAGGGGAACACAATTAGGACAGCCCATGCTACATAGCAAGACCTGACTCAAGAAAAAATAAAAGAAAAAAGTGAGAGAGTATCTACGAATGGATTGAAGGAAAATTAAAATTGATGAATTGACATAGACTTACGAGTTTTATAGATTTCTTTGGGGAAAATTCATTTACTATACCAATATAAATGATGTTTTATATTCCAGAGATATATAATCACATGTGAAGTATACATAAATATTAAATTACATGATATTGTAATATGTAACACATTATGTAATTTTATGTTATTAAAATCTTAAAAACTAAAGTATAATTAGAGATGATATTAAACGTAATAAAATTATACAACTTACTCTACTGTTAGAACCCATTTTGGTGGGCTACTCAGGGTCATAATCATACCATCAGTGAGAACACTGATCAAAATTAACAACTGGAAAAAGGTAGGTTATAGTTAAGGAGATAAAAAGGTCATAAAAACATTAGACGACTATGTTTTTGTCAGATTTATATAAATACAAATAACAAACATTTTAATAACTTATTTTATGATTCTCATTGATAAATCATGGAATTAATATTTGTTAAATGTACTTATTTTGGGGGGGGGTCTGGTGTGGGGCCTGAACTCTGGGCCTGGGCGCTGTCCCTCAGCTCGTCAGCTTAAGGCTAGCGCTCTACCACTTGAGCCACAGCGCCACTTCCAGCTTTTTTCTTTTTCCTTATGTGGTGCTGAGGAATCGAACCCAGGGCCTCAGGCATGCAAGGCAAGCGCTCTACCACTGAGCCCCCTTCCCAGCCCTGTTAAATGTACTTTTAAACATACAATACAGTCTATCTATTCCAACTCCATGGTAATTTGAGTGAGATACCAATGAGAAAGCAAACATCTCTGCACTAAGAATTCAGTAACACAACAGTTGAATCTGGAATTGGCCCCATTTTCAACACAGAGGACAAACCCATCATAAAGGATATGGATGTACCAAGACCTTCACACTGGTTCCTCGGATAACATTGAAAGGAGAAAGTGTGCAAAAGATGGAAGATGCATTGAATCTGAAGATTGTTCTCTTTTTATTTAATACAATGAAAGTCTATAAGAAGCAAATGAATAATCATTAATAATATCAATAATAATTTTGTATCAAATAAATCCAACCTCTATGGTAATAGCCAATAAAATAATAGTAGTATTAATAATAAAAAGATGGAAGAGGAATTTATTCTAGACACTTTGTTGGTTTAAAATTAAGAACCTCAAATGGCTAGTTAATGTCCATAATGCAAGTAGTCTATAATAAGGTGTACCAGTATATAAGGTAAAAGGTAAAATAACCAAAACAAGGTATACAGTCAGTCTGATGTCAATTTTGATAGAAATCTGAAATGTATTCCCCAAATAAAGTATTTTACTCTTAATATAGTAGCCATTCACTTTTTGTATCTTATCTCAATTACACTTAAGCATGTTTGAAAAATAACAATGTATTCATAATAATTTCCACTAGTTCTCACATTTTTTTTTACATAGTAATAAGGGTCCACATCTTCCAGAGGCACTGACATCATTCCTTGGGAAAGATTTCCATAAGTAAATGGAAGCTTTTTGCCAACTTCCAAGTCTGGATTTGGTTCTAACTCTTCCTCCTCATGGTCGTCATGGTGCTTCTTAGCCATACGTTGTTTTATCAGATCAAGAGACTCTCTAGTGAAAGGGACAAGGCCCTTTGGTTTTGGCGACACCAACATTTCCAATTTTGTACCTATAAGAAATTAATTTTCTTCAGTTTAATGTAAAAGATGGGCTTTTAAAGAAAATATAAGTAATATCACATAAGGTTAGAATAAAAAGAAAATAGAGTACTCATTATCTTGCTCATGTAATTGTAACCCCTCTGTACAGTATTTTCACAATAAAAAAATAAATAAATTTTAAAAAAGAAAATAGAAGCCAATGTCTAAATAAGTACATTTGAGGAACATCATTCTGAATTTTGTAATTAAAAATATTGTTCTGAGTTTAACTGTATTTAATGTTTTACCTTATAATTTTATGCTAGTTCAATTCACTTGCTCATTGCTTGAAAGTTTTGTTTTTCTGAACTTTGGCTTTCAAGTTTTCTACTGTAACAAAAGAGGTCAAAGGATGTGTTATCTTTAGTTTGATCAAATACAATTACTCTATGAATTGTTCATTTGTAACTGTTTTTCTCTAAACAATCTTTGTTGTATACATTTACCCCATTCTTCTTTTTTATTTGTATATTTTAGGTTATATCCTTTGGATAAATTTAGTATGTGTCATTTTGTCTTTAGCAGTGCTGATGATCAAACCAAAGGCCTGACACATGCTTTGAAAGTATTCTCCCACAGAGCTATAAAGTATTCTCCCACAGAGCTATATTACCAGGAATATGGGAAAATTTTAACCCAAGTTTTAACTTTGAGACTTTTTAAAGTTTTACCTTTCTTTCTTTGTTATACTCAACTTTAATTTCTATCTGTATGAATATTTATCAATTATGTTGTATATTATTTTCTGATATATCAACAATTTGGGTCATGAAGGAGAAGTAGCCTAGTGGAAAGAAATAAAATAAACAAGATCATGAGCTTTGGAGTTAGGAAGACTAATGTTCAAATTTCAAACTTTTGCTAATGTTCTGAGAAAACCAGGTTACCTATTACCTATTAATTTTGCATCCTTTTTGTCAGCCATAAAACTGGATTTCCTTTCTTATTTAAAAAAAGACAGAAAATTTAAAATATGGGCAAAAAATCAAGTAAATAAAAATCAATTGGCTTATAAATAGGTGCAAAATTAATGTTTCTGAGTGTGATAAGATTTGGTAGTGTAGAATAGTAGAGCAAATTTAACAGAAAAATATAAAATATATAAGACTTGGAAATTTAGACTACATAGGTACAATAGAGAAAGGGATATGCTTTTGTGGCAGAGATAAAATGTCTGGAAAATCCTACTTAACATTAATTACAATACAAATACTACCCATTTATGTTCTGCCAAGAAAGGTAATATAATCTTAATCTATATTGACAAAAGTTGGAAGAGGAAATCTACTTGGTGCTAGATCATGAGCATGTACATATACTGGAATTTCATAAATTGGGACCAGAATATTGAGTTCAATAAAATGACAGGTAGAGCTAAGTTGAAGTATAATATTTATAATAGCCAGAACAACAACAAAAAATGATACAAGAGGAAACTTACTGTTTCAAAGTGTCTGAGTGATTGCCACATGGAAAAGAAATTAGACTCTATTCTTAGTCACAAAAAATGAATGACAATCAGTGAGTTGAAGGCAAGACCCATTTGGTTTGAGATAAGAGAAACTCTCAATTAGCTTTCAAAATATTAAATATGTTGAGTTGAGTATTAAATCATTCTCTTAAGTAGCAATGGGAAGTATGAACTCATGGAGTGTTCATTGACATGACTGCAGTGGATACAAACATTCATTGTTTATATCAGTAACCTGTAATTTGGAGCTTTCCAATGTTAAAGTCCTTGTATTGAGTTAGTTGCACAGTACCATAGGATCTAAAATTAGAAGTAAAGCGTTGGTGAAATTGTGCGGCAGTGATTTAATAAAATTTTCCCCACAGAAGGAAGTGTTATATATTTTTTTATTGTGTATTTTTTTGTTTTCTTGATGTAAAGTCTCATTATGCTGCATAGGCTGGGCCTGATCTCCCAATCCTAATTTGTAGAGTGGTTGGGACTTTAGGAGACAACCACCAAATTTGTCCTTCACGTAATTCTTGTTTCTGTTAATTCTACATAGCCATTATGAAGACTAAAACACATTGTTAAGCTTAGGCATGTTAAAAATATTGTTATTAAAAGCAGATTTAAAGAATGGTTTTTAAACTTATTGCAAAGATGATCCCTTTAATGGAAGCAGTCTGTCTTTCATTGAAACTTCAAGATTCAAAGATTCAAGTTTTCAGTGTATCACTTCATTGAATAGTCTAAATATAATCTACCTTAACTTTCCCTGTTTCCACGCCACCCTTTGATGCTTGTTATTCACTAGCTATGAGACCTCAATAACATCACCTGAGATTAATTTTCTTCATGTGCATCATTTAAAATCATTTATATATTTCAAGATGCTGTAAAGAATAATTCAGACAATACAGAAATCCTGGACCACAGTAATACCTTCCTCAAAACTCATTTTCACTCCCAACCACATTCATTTATTCCAGATAACTCTTTCTGTGATATTTTGATGTTGAATAAAATTACCCAGAATTGTTGACTTAATGGCTAGTCATTTGTTTTCCATAACACAGCAAAGCAATGCAAGCATTTATCAAATGAAACTGGCACACATCTGACTTTTAGATGACTGAGTGCAGACTATAAATTATTAATTATTAAGTCATAATTCAGTAAAAGCTTTTCTTGAGGGAATTTATATAATATGGTCCAGGCACTATGCTTTCCGGAGAGCTATCTTAATACAGCATTAAAACCTGAAAAACACAGAAAGATTAATAGTTAATCTGTCCATTAGAGTGATTTTCCAAAGAACTGAATAGAAAAAGTAAGCTTTTGGCAATAATTATACTCACTTCATACTTGGACATGAACATATCCAGTTTTAGCAATATTTTATATAGTTAACTGAGGTGAAAGACATTTATCTTGGAAATCAGTTGCAAATTGTAGAACCAGCAAACAGTTGGGCTGAATTCTCATAGAAAAGAAATTATCCTCCTCAAATTTCAGATTAGAATATGAGCCAACATTTATCATTATATTCTGATAGTTATAATTATTGCCACTCTTTCTGAGTAGCTATCATTTCTACAGCATAAAAGTAGATATTTTGAATTGTATTTTCTCATTTTTTCACTAATATTCTTGCGATTTTTATTTGGTTTATTAGGGGACAGGGTTTGCTCAGTGTCTTAGCTTCTTCATCATTGTACAGCTAGTTCAATCATGAAGATAAATTCAAACCCATTTGTGTTTAATCTAAATTTATATACCTTTAGAAAATATCACAAAATGAATGCAAACAATAGTTTTTATAAAAAGTGTGAGCAATTGATATTTCGATGTCAACTGGATCAAGAACTTAGCCTACCAACTAAGTTAATGCCAGGTGATATTGTCTAGAAATTTTCTTTATGTGATTGGTACCAGAGTAAAATAATTTCTACTTTGTAAAATAGAAGATAAGTAGCATATTGAGCACCAATTTGGACATTACAAGATACTAGCTAAAATGCTAGGCCACTATCTAGATTGAGCATACTTGTATGGATAGTAGTAGCAGACTGCTGCGTAAGAACTAACACAGTGAGCCAGACAACACAAAAAATAACTAGCTGCTCATTCGTCTTGAAATGATATGACTGTGGCCAAGCCAATCAAATCATTTAGCTTAAGACTTTGAACTTAGATCTAAAGAGATAAAGTAAGAGAGGTACCGAATCTGTTTTTGTAAGAAGCAGACACTTAGCAGCAGCTTGCAGTACTTTCTGGGAGAAAGGGTTGAGGGATTATGGGTGTTGCTCCAGTAGTCACTATTAATATCCACTCTGCTGGCTTTGCCATTTGATAGATGTGGTCTGAGCTGAAAGTTAGTCCCTCTCAGACTTAAACAATATAAAGTTGTGTTTTAATTTATCCTATAGTGTTGATATTGTTTGCCATTGCACATAACCTGAAGCATAAGCCAATTATACAGTCTACAAAAATTTGAGTTTATTTTAGAGTGGAAAATTTCAGGTTAATCGGTGACCAACATAGGGTGGTTTGTAGAAAATGCATTTTCCACTGGCATTTTACCAGTGGGCAGTGGGGTGGGGCATTATTTTCCTGTCAGTCATGTTAAAGTTTAGCCCCTAAATGACACATTTTCTCTTGCTACAATTTCCATAGAATTTGACAATGCCATATAGCTCAAATGGGTTTGGTTTTACTTTTCTTGTACAGCATGTTGTAGTCCTAGAATTCGCTGCATTCTGGCTATGCTGGTGGAGGGGGCGTTGGTAGACTGAGTTTTGTTTTGTACTCTGGGAGACATATATAGAATGATTCAGAACTAGATCATTCCCATCATCCCTTTCTTCATATATGTATCTCTGTCCAAATGAATTGTTAAAAATAGAAGTAAGTGTTGACAAGAAAGAATCTATTTCCTAACAGCTTTATTATTTTAAAAAATTCTTCATAGTTTATTTCTAACTTTATATAAATATTATGAGTTTTTGTAAAAGTTTATGACATCTGGGTTATATCACTGAGTGTCATTCATAAAGACAATGTGCAAATGGGAAAATTCTAGTTCAAAGGTCAGGAAAGGAAGACTTATTTGGTTTCAGATGTGTGAGGTACATTTAACCATTTCAAAGCAAAGAGTTAGAGATTAAGTTAAAATATGTATCTTTACGTTGAATATATTACATATTAATATACACATAAATATGTTTATATATAAAATATATTTATATATAATAGGAATTTATATGCATCTTTATGGTAAATGGATATAGAGTTGTATGGATGCATATAATAGCTTTAACTAACAGATAATGAAGTATTTGCAAAATTTTTGAGATTTGGGATTATGATTTTAAGGGTAACCCATTTCATAGCACCTATCATCTAACATTTTTTAAAAAGTACCCTTATAAAAAATTTTACTTTTTAAAAAGTACCCTTAAGGGAGGGGGTACACATTACCTTACTTATGTAACTATAACCCCTCTGACATCATCG